TTCCGAGAACGCTTTGTATGATGTCCATCGGAGTGGGGCCATCGAAGGCAGGCTTTTGCGTGAGAAGGGTCCAGAAAAGTATCCCCAAGGAGTATATGTCGGTTCTACTATCAGGCTCTGCGGGCATTCGTCCAGTCTGTTCCGGACTTATAAACGACAGCTTGGTCTTTGCGCCAGCCTCCTTCGACAACGTTGACCAGCCATGGCTCGTGAGTCCATGCTCAAACGACCGCAGCCCAGATCCAAAGTTAATAAGCCGAGTTTGACCTGTAGTCTCGTCGAAGTGAAACGCATCGCCTCTGATTTCTCCATGGACTATACGTTGACCGTGGTGTAGAATCTCGAGACACTCCGTTGCTCCAATAGCGAAGTCAAGAAAAACCGGCAGGGGGATTAGCTCACATGCTCTCTGTAGATTTTGCCCCGCTGGGCCAAACTCTATATACTTAAGGAGGGAGTTCTTCCCAGGGGCCTCGAAGATGGAGACCACGAATGGACCCTTATCACCCTGTTGCGGGGCCAACCTAAGCAGGTCTACTGGCCTGACTATATGGTTCCCCTGCGGATCGACCGAGTGGAACAGGTTCGAGCAGATATGGAATGTCCGTTCCTCCCTCAGCGTGTGCGTTGATATTTTCGCAATGACTTGGACCAGTGGCTCGGCTGTCTCGCTGTCGTTGACGCCAGGGGCACCCTCGGCCTCGCGGTATGTAGCTAAGGAGCTCTTGCTCGCACTGGTGTGCAAATAGCTCTTAGGGTCGGCGGCATCTTTGAAGGGTCCTACTGAAGTCGGCGCGCCATGTTTGGTGCCGAAGACACGCCTATCGTAACGTTAGCCCTTCCCTGCTCATTTGGTGGTCTGCGTGCTCGCCATACCAGTTATCGTAGCTCGAGAGAATGGGCGGCCGGGTCTCGTCCCAGGTGTACCCGCGGATCTGGCGTAGTCGCTCGAAAAGTCGGGGAGGCGGTATGTGGTGGTCTTCCACAGCACCGACAGGACCATCCATGGTTACAACGCACTCTCAGCTCATCTTCTGGATGGCAGGAGGTATACCATGAGTAGCGAGACTCAATAAAATGGAGAGCGATACGTATTGGGATAGTTTAGTGTCGTTTTGGTTGGAAGGCTGATTTGTATGGACACCCAACTAACGGTGTCGATGTGAATTCAGCAATGGCGCTTTGCTACTTACGGTAAAGCCTTGGCGTAATCTGCAGTATGACGCGCTATAGAAGCTTAAATTACTTTAGCCCATTAACCCCCCATTGATCACAACACTTTTAGGGAGGCACAAAGGAAATGTCTACTAAGGAATTTACTGAGCACTAATGGCGCACTACTGTTAGTTGACAGTTGACACTTGCGAACCAAAATATCGCGTCAAAAAACTCAATCGGCGGCGGCAAAAGACGTTGAGGCCGTCCATCTGAGACAATGAAACGCAAGGGTGCGTTCCTTACGTCATTGCGCCGCCACGAGCTGGAGGTTTGGTGGCACAGATAAGAAACAGAAAACTTCGATCCAACCCAGACATTCATTCTAAATGTTACACTGCAGTCTGACCTAAGATTGTTGACAAGATTATCATTAATAAAGACATGTTAAAAGAACAACTCGGTCTAATATACGCCGTTAACCCCGACACGCCCCTTTTGTGAACCCCAACCAACCCCCAATTTACCAGTTACCGTTCAACTCCAATACCAAGATAATGCCCCAAACAGCGCACAAGGATATTGCCCTGTCTCTCTACCTAGTTACTGTTGCACCAGGTCTATATCCTGTACCCCCATTGAACCCCCAACTCCACAGCAATGACTCGGCCCTCGCTTTCAGGCACCTCTTAACTCCTTGATCACTTCTTTAGCGATGGCTTCTTTGGCCGCGTCATCAGCTGTACTACCAGTGATGCACGACATGCCATCAATTCCAATCTTCGAATTTCTCAGAGCATTGATGCCGTTCGCGATGGGACCCAGGTCGGACTTCGATCCGGCTTTAGTCGACATGATGTCGACAAATTTCGCGTCTCCAGCGGCGTCTGCTTTATCAGTAGCAGTGTTTCTGAACAGTTGTGCTCCGTCAGTCAAACGGCGCTCCTCATTGCGTCTGCCGTTTACGAAGTCTGGATAATTCAGCGTCAACTCGACCGCGCCGTTGACAATGTGGTCGGCAGCTTCAACGCCAAGCATAAAGCTATGGTCCTGATTGCCAACCTCGTACCGCCAACTTCCAAATCTCCCACGGGAATAGATGCCTTTCGCTTCAAGCGCAGGAAGAAGCTGCTTTAAGACACCTTCCCGCTCAAGAGACGGCGTTGGGTAGCCATGGTCAAAACGCCTGTGGTAGGTTGAGACGATTTCATCATCCTCTTTGATCATTTTAGTGTTGATTAACCCTTGAATCGAGTCTCGGAGCAGATTATCCTGGTCGACAGGCTTCATAGACGACTCTGAAATCTCGAGCATAATAGACCAATACGGGCCGTTCTGCGGTTCAGCCGACGCCGGCGCGTCACCATTTGCAAGATACTTTGTTCGCAGCTTGACAGACGCGAGTGGCTGATTTCCTGGCGAGTAATTAGAGAAGATCGTCGCTCGGTAAAATGGACAATCGTCTTCGGGGAAGTAGAGCTGAATCCTGTTAGTTTTTGCAGCTCCGAGCAGGATGAGGAACATACCCAGCACTTGTCCCCAATATTCTCAGGTCTTTCGCCTCGAATCCCAACTCCGATAACATGCGTGGATGAGTAGAAGAGGTCCTTGCTCATTTTAATCAACCTCTCATCAGCCATGCTTTCCACAAGCTGATCAACAGCCATTGTGCTAATGAGCCTCTTATATTTAATCGCGCTGCCGTTTGACATTGTCACAGTTTTGGCAGCGGCGTCGACCTTCTTTACACTGCCGTGAGAGCCGAATCGAGTCTTCTCCTTCGGCAGCGTCTTTGCAACGCCGATCCAGATGGCACCTGTCCCACCACGAGCAGGGAATCGGAAAGTAGAGTTGGGGCCCCAATTCCCGGCCACCTTTTGAAGGATGACATTCTTGGTGACTGTTTTGAGATCCGGGGCCGCAACACGCTCGCCGAGCCATTGACATTGCATCTGCAACAGAGTTAGGAGCCGCGAGGGTATATATAGGGCAGCCGCAGTCATACCTTCGTCGTTGGAACCGCCCAGACCTTGAAGTTGTATGGCCGCATAAACAGGTCGGCGATGCCAGTGCCCATCATACGAATAATCCATTCATCGAAGTTGGCAGGTTTATTTACAGCAACACGTGCATCCATGGCAGCATCGATCATCCCATTGATACATCTGACCTGGTCATCCTTTGGGAGCACTGAAATATTGTTTTGAAAAGGATACGGCACCCAAAGGTCCTTGCATCGCACATACGATACACGTTCGTGAGTGTACCAATCATCCTCCTTTGGAAGCGCTTCATCAATACAGTCGTCGAAGTACTTGTAATGTGAAAATATCACATGGCCTCCAACGTCGTAAAGCTGCCCTCATGTTAGTACTTGTGTGCGAAATAATAGGACACTGTCGCAAGCCAAGACCAATTAACTTACAAAGCCTTCCGGTGTGACATCCGTGGAAGCCAGACCACCAGGTGTTTCATTTGCGTCCACAATCAGCCATGAGGGTCCGTTCTAGCGATAATGTCAGCCACAGCGGTCGCGACGATGGAGGGGAAGTCGCACAATCTGGTTCAGGCGCTTGGCCGCGCCCAGGCCCGTCGGCCCAGCCCCAATAATGAGAATATCGACTTCTCTATAAGATCAGGTCAGCATTAAATCGAGGGAGGATTGTTAATTGTTTATATCAAGAGGGGGGCGCCACATACACATCGCCTTTGGTCATTTTGAATGTAGCGTTCGTGTCCCAATCAATACGAGTGATCTTTTCAGCAACTTCAGTTGATTGTTGTGTAGCAACATGTAGTCACTATAAGAGAGGAATCAGGAGAGAAATTACTGAGGAACGGAGATATGGTTCCTAGATGAATCGCGACTGTTGAATCTCGTACCATTCGAGAAGCCATGACGGGCCAGGGCGGTCACGAATAGGCATAAGGGTATGTATGGTAGGGTAAAGAGGGAAGTGGCGGGGTCGACCAGGATCATGGCCTTCCGTCCCTCACAAGCCAAAGCTCCATGATTTGTTGCAGTACAGGTCAGTAGTCTAAAGTCAGTACTGCACATGTATTTTGAGGTACTTTTGCTATTTCGGGTGGCTTGATCCCAACTCCGTTCAAGCAACGTTGGCGCAGTTTCATCCGTCGATCAGCAGGAGCGAATGCAGGTACAGCAGAGGAGAGTACAGTCCTAGTACAATCATAGTACAGCTGTTTTCAGATTGCTGCGGTACTGTACCCAATAGAACAGTGGAAGCTTCCCTCCGATCGTCTGCGGTCTCCAACAAGGGCCGCCGCAAGATCAACCCGAGGATGAACGGACTTACGTACATAATCGTATGTCAGTACGTGGCTTCATTTTCTTTTGTTTCAATTGCAGACTCCAATGTGTGGAGGTATGTGTATATCACGGTATACAATCGACAATCGACGTCACAAGTGGGAAGGAGAAGTGGAAAGAGAAGTGGTGCTTGCTCCACGTAATCGCTGTACCAAGATCTGATCATCTGTGGATCTTCTAGATCTTCTTGGATCTTCAAACAGTTTTAAGTCGAAGTCTCCTCGTCCCCCCTGTGTTGACAGTCGTCCTGGCGTAGAAGTTGGTATTTTTTTCCCCAGTACATAGAAGACAATTGGCAGCCAATTGGTATATTTATGTATTTTGCCTACATCATCATCTTGCAACCGGCGGACATATTTAGAGCCTTTTCCGCTGTACGAGCTGTGCCAAGAAGGTGAAAGTGCCACCTTGCTACCTTTCTGAACTGTGGGAGGAATGCCATTTTTGTAACTTCCATCCCTTCACCGCCCGGCAGTACACTGCCTCTATTCCCCACTCAACATACGTACCACGCCAACCAACATGTGAGGCTATGGTAACTCTACTCTCTATGCGCTCTCTCTCTGTCTGTACCTTCCATGCCAAACCAACACCGTCGATCTGGTAGAGCCATATTTCTCTAGCTCATAAGCCAATCGACCATACATCTTTGCTCACGTACTGCCTTATTAGACGGGCAGACGTATGACGAACACCATGGCACGTTTTTAGCATCCATCTCCTATACCTGCCACGCTCTGCCTGCTCTGTGCTCCTTGTTTATCTGGCCCTCACCACAAAACCACCCCATTTCGCTGCTCGTAACGGCCCATTGAGTATATATATCCAAATCTGCCAAAGCTGCACGAATAGCTTCTCCCCCCTGCGCATTTGTGCCCCTTGACCTTGCGCTTTCTCCCAGAGCGCAACCATGAGTGCAGACGATAGGGGCCTAGATTCTGGAGATGACCCCCGCTTAGAGAAGATCGAGCCATCGTTGCCAAGGGTCATTCAGGATGTTAAGGAGGAAGATACAGACTCTCCGGCCTTACATCCTTCAGTCTATGTTGTGTAAGCATTTATTGTCCGCAAGAGTTCGCTGTTCATAATTTCTAACTTTTGGCCCCCTCAGGATTTGGATCTCGCTGAGCTCCAGCGTCATTCTGTTCAACAAATGGATCCTCGATTCCCAAGAATTCCGTAAATCACCCCGAATCACCCTATATCGTTTGCAATGGCTAAATAAACAATCCAGGATACCCTGTGCTTCTCACAGCATGGCATCTCTTCTTTGCGACTGTAATGACGCAGATCATGGCCCGAACCACAACCCTCCTCGATGGACGAAAGAATGTTCGCATGAACACGCGCATGTATATACGGACTATCCTCCCCATAGGGATAGTTTACAGTCTTAGTCTGATATGCGGAAACCTGACGTACCTATACCTCAGCGTTGCATTCATCCAGATGCTCAAGGTAGGCCCAACCCAAGCGCATATCGACACTGAGGGCATTTTCTAACTAGAAGTAGGCGACGACACCAGTGGCCGTCCTCATAACAGGCTGGTTCTTCGGGGTTCAAAAGCCCAACATGCGCGTGCTGTTCAACGTGTCCTTCATCGTCATCGGCGTCGTCCTCGCCTCGTTTGGAGAGATTAAATTCGTGATGCTGGGCTTCCTCTTCCAATGCGGTGGTATCATGTTCGAAGCCGTGCGACTCGTCATGGTGCAACGGCTCCTCAACTCCCCTGATTCGAAGATGGACCCCCTCGTGTCGCTGTACTACTTTGCGCCGGTCTGCACAGTCTTCAATGGCCTGATCGCATTAGCCTGGGAGGTGCCGAAAGTCTCAATGGAGGATGTCCATAAAGTTGGGTTGCATAACTTTGCCCTCAACGCTATGGTGGCGTTTGCATTAAACGTATCTGTGGTCTTCCTCATCGGAAAGACGTCCTCCCTCGTGCTCACGCTTTGTGGTGTTCTCAAGGATATCCTCCTTGTAGTAGCCTCGATGATGATCTGGGGCACCATCGTCACGCCCCTCCAGTTTATCGGATATGCCATCGCCCTAGGAGGTCTGGTGTACTATAAACTCGGCGGCGAGCAGGTGCGGACACATCTGGAGATGGCCAGCCAGCGTTGGAGATCGATGTCGTCACGCCGCCCGTTCCTGTGGAGGATGCTCATGTTCATCATCGCATTCTGCATTGTATACGCGCTTGTCGACGTCCTGGCTCCTTCATATGCCCCAAAGTATGACCCGGAGAGGGTGTCGGCGGCATACTTGGCGGCGAAGGAAAGGTATAAGAATGGTGGGGCGAACATTCCTAAGGACAACCGATTCTGAAAAGATGAGGACGATCATGAGTGATGCTTTCCCGGGAGGAGCGTCACAGGATGGGATGGGCTTTGTCAGCTTTATATAGACTTCTTGGTTTGATGCACTTGCTGGTTGAGTAATATTGCATCTTGTTTTTGTCGTTTCATGGCGAAAGGGAAGAAGGGGGTTTAAAAGGGCAATTTCAGACGCTGGCGCGGATAAGGGGGAGTAAAAGGGTCATTTTGGGAATGGATGGACGGATGGATGGACGGTGACAGTGTGATGATGAGAAGCTCCTCTGTAATGACTGGCAAAAGAACATATATTACTGTAGAAGTACATTGTCACAGTAGCACCGGGGCCTAGAGTGATTCCCCTGTGATTAATAAATCACCTTCGATCGCGCTATTCATCGCATAGATTTCAAGTAGAGAAAATAGTATTTGTTATCGTTAAGTAAAATGCCTCCTCGTCAGTTAATTCCCATATATCCAATATTACAAAGTCGTAAAATACACCCCCAACCAGCCACCCACCCAAAAACAATACCACTCCTCGCAAAAGGGTATACGAATATGAATCCATCCATCGCTCAGACATAAACTCATCATCGTAATCATCTCATCAACATCGCACTTACAACGCGTAGCCCAGCTCCACGTTAGTCGTCAGTCCTGTTATCCTTTCCCCCTCCCCCTCCCCCTCCCCCTATCACTCATTCTCCCAAACCCAATCATTATGCCCAATCCTCGTACACGTCAAATAACTCACTCCCTCCGCCCCGCCCTGCAGCGTACACCTCATAAGCGGCGCCACCGTCTCCCTCGCCAGCCCCTTCATCTCCTCCACCTTCCTCTCAAACCTTCTCAACGTCTCCCTCGAATACAGCTCCGGCGTCAGCTTGAGGAAACGCTTGCACTCCTCGTGTCCTAGGTACGCGCTCCCGGAACTCGACCCGAGGAGTCGGTATACGCGCCCTAGATAGGGCACGGGGGGGTCGCTGTAGGGAGGCGGCATGCTGGCGCTATTTGCGCTCAGCGGCGGAGCGTCGAGGCGCTCGTGGGGGTTGGTGTTGGGACGGGAGGCGGAGATGGGTTTGGCTGGGGCGGGAGGGGGGGAGGATGTGTTTTCCGCTAGCCACTCGCGGAACAGCGAGACAGCGAGCCAGTCAACGTAGCTAGTCTGCGGACTGACGCGGTCGCCGCGGCTTGTCATTAGAGAGAGGCGAAAGAGGCGGCCCTCAACGCCCGCGACAACATCGGCGAGCTCGTCGACTTTATCTTCTATGAGCTCGACGACTTGTTGCGGGAGGGCCTGGCGGAGGTGCCGCTCGCCGACGGGCCATTGGCCGACGACGTGGATGAGGGCTTCGGCGAAGATGACTTTGGAGCGGGCCATGTAGCCGAGGCGGAGGTAGGAGGGCGGGTACTTGGCGATTTGCTTGAAGAGGCGGGATTGGAATTGGAGGAGGTGGTGGTCGATTCGCGGGCCGACTACGACGAGGGCGTCGTACATGTCTGCGAGTGCGAGGAGGGATTTGCATTGGATGTATGCATCGGCGATATTAATGGGGTCGAGAGAGGGTGGGTAGTTGTAGAATATGCGGAAGAGGTTGTCGTAGTCGCGGAGGAGATCCGTATCTTCTTGCGATAGTGGAGCTGGTACGGCGATGCTGAGATTGGCAACAGACCGAAAGAATGAGGTTGATGAGCTCGGGGGCTTATTGCGGACTGGCGGGGGTGACATAGGATTGAAGAGAGACGGCGCAGGAGGGGTAGCCTGCACGAGCATGGGAATGTCGCTATTATCGGCCCCCTTATCTAGCTCATAGCGCCAGCGCTGTTTCTGAGGCGACGACGACGTCCGGCTTGCTGTATCCATACTGCCTCCATCTTCCCCAATCCGAGCCAGCTCCTTGCTAGCCTCGGTATGCCCACGCGACCATTCCTGGCTTGTGCTGGCTTCAAAGAAGCCGGAGCACTGCGTGAGGATCAAGCGATGGAGGAGGTATCTGTTTTCCTTCCCGCCCGCGCTGACGAGGATTTCCACATCGCCCGTGTTCGCGAAGACCGGGAACTCATTTTGTGGGATGTAGGAGGAGCCGCCGGCCAGTGATCGGTTCTGGCGGCGGTGTCGACTTGAGCGCGAGACGACGGAGGAGGGGCCGCGGACGGAGAGGGAACGCGAGGGCTCTGGCTGTGAGACCATTTAGGAGTTTGGGATCTGGTCGACTATGCAAGCTGCTGTAGTTGAGAAGTAGTCAGCAACGCGTCTTGGGAAATGGGCGAGAGAGGATATAGAGGACGCACCTGCTCAGTTATTCTCGCTCAGAAGCTACCATGTGCGCAGAGGTGCTTCAAGGACGGCAGCGCGATAAGCCCTCACAGTCGCATCAAAGATCAAAGAACGGCTTTGTTTGAGCGCAAGTGTTCCAGTTCCCCCGCAGTAAAATTCCGGTAGCCAGAGACTCAGCAGATTGCGATCATGTCTTTGTTATTGTGCTTTATCAACAGTCGTGTAGCGTGCCCGCCGTGTGACGGAAACCTTCGAAGCCCTGAAACTTTGTGACGGTAAACAGAGACAGGATGATCCAGGTGCCTCCTTTCGCTGCCGCACATGCGCCTCGTTCCGCGATGATTGACTCGCCTTCGATAGTTCCCGCTTCCCTGAACTCTCTCTTTAGAGCGAATTATAACACGGCGGTCATTTCTCTTTTTTCGATGTGGGCCAACTGATTTCTGATGGAAAGAGAGTACCGGGGGCGATATCAATTGTCAGGGAGTCAGAGTAGTCAGGGATGGGTCAAAAGGCTCAATTCCAGGTGCCAGGGTAACTTTTCATGGTCCACGAATTGCGAGGCCGAAGCTGGGTCGCGTTGAGCCATGTGCAACATGGATGTTTACTTGTGTGGTGGGTGGTGGGGGGATGGGCTTTGACTAACAGCTGTACAGTGCAGTAGCAGCAGCAGTGTTGTGCTGAGAATCGGGACACCCAGGCCAATAGACGTTGGGTGCGGGGCTGTCCGAGAAACCCAGATGCCACTTCTATCAGAAGTCTAGCCAAACGATTGGAGAGGAAGGACCGGATGCCATTCGAACCAAGAGGGGAATCAGAAGGGCAAGAGGGGATCCAGTGGCGAAAACACCGTGCTTTACTACCAAGTAACACGTATAGTATATTATACCATACCTTATTGGAGTTGTCGGTATTTTGGCGTCGATAAGTTTCTGTCAGATGTGTCTATTTTGGATCTCATGTCAGGTCGCATACTCCTCTGCATTGTCTACTTGCAGTACAGTCTATACAAGGAGGTCTCAGCGGCGACGTTCTAAACATCTTCCAATTCCGCCGTGGTTCTCCTACATCACAACAGTCTCAGGAACACGACACCGCATATGCGGAACTCCAGCTTTCTATTTCCCCTCAGCAAATATGTAGATTTCATCAGAAAATACGTTGTCTAGTCAATGGTGTCTCATCGAGTCCCCATCTGACAAGTAAAAAGCACCTCACACCTCTCCCTCACACTACCCGGCCACTCCACTCCCCTCCCCTCCGATCCCACGCACATGAAACAATTATCCCCAAGTAAGGTATTCGATATACTTCATCGCTCTCAAGGTTGATGACGAATGATGGCCGTTGCACGCCACGCCCTCCACATATGGCCACTAAAGATCTACATGAACAATTAAAATAAAATGCTGGACAGACCCAACGCCGCGCTAGCAAATGCTATGTGAGAATGAAAATTCGAATCGTTATAAACTCCCGAGCCGGAGAATACGCTCTGAAGCAAGACCACCGACCAGCTAGAAGACAGCCGCGAGCCCGCTCTTAGATTGGCGTTTACTGAACCTATGCCGTTTCGGCGGTGCATCTTCTTGGTTCTTGGTCAAGTTTTTGCGACCGTTGCGGTCAGTAACACCCATTCCCTCAGGGTATGTGTTCCCGCCGCCAAGGGTGCTCGTCGGACTTGACACCGATGATGACATCTCGGCGAAGTTGCTGTCGTTGTTGTAAGAGCCCAACATGCTTTGTGACATCGCGAAGTCCTTCGCGCTATCAAGGGTTTCAATCCACTCTTCGGGGGCTGTTCGACCCAGGTCCGATGAGCTATTAGATGATCGCGGCTCTTCAAACGAATAATGGGTTCCATGCTGTAAACCATTAGATATCACTTCAGTAAACACATCAGCTGTCAAAACTTACCGTATCTACACACCACCCTGCCTGCCCCTTCAGTTCTGCCTGTAACCGCCACGTACAATCGGAAGCCAGGAGAGATATCTCCGTCTTTGACTTCTTCTCGTCCCCTCCAGCGGCTGCCAGAATAATTCGGGCGCTCGAGGTAACCATGACTAGCCTCTGCCTCTTCTTGATAGTGCTTCCACCAAAAAAGCGGGAGAATTTCTTGTCGCTCTTGCCGTTGTCACCGCTTTTAGATCCCGGGCTGTTGGGTATTGGGCTCGAAGTAACCATGAGATTCCCAAGCTTGAGTATCCTCTCATTATTCCGAGTTAGTACAGGAGACCATTCGATATCTAGCTGGCTGGGAGGTGGTAGTTCAGTAATAACTCGTGGTTTTGGTCTTGAACTACTACTTCCATTCGCACCTCGGGACGTTGTTATTGGCTGCGGAGTACTCTGGTATCCATCCAATTTGATAACGTGCGGTTTTTGCGAAGGGGGGACATGAGGCATTAACCTCGGTGCCTTTTGCCTCCACAAGCTCCGTCCCCATTTCACGCCATCGAAGAATTCGTGGTTCTTAATATGCTCCATGGACAGCCGCCTCTGCGGGTCATGGACCAATAAGCGTTCTACCAAGTCCCTCGCTGCCGGTGGAAAGCCAGGTGGAAACTCGTAATCCAACCCAACAATTTTCTGGAACGTCAAGTATTCATTTGCAGCCTTGAAAGGCGGCCTTCCTGAAAGTAGCTGGTATATAATGCAGCCGAACGCCCAGAGGTCGCTCGCTTTGCAAGCGTTTTTGTCCGTGAGCAGCTCCGGGCTGACATACTCTGCGGTGCCAACAAATGACGCTGCTCGATTATCGTCATCCTCCTTGTCCATATCGGGAAGGCCCTGTTTCGGCACAGCATATGGGTCTTTTAACAGCTTCGCCGTTCCAAAATCGGTAATTTTGACGTGCATTTGATCGTCAAGAAGAACGTTCTCGGGCTTTAAATCTCGGTGAATCACGCCACGAGAGTGCATGTAGTCGATGGCATCCAAAATTTGCGCACCATAGAAACGGGTGCATTCCACGTCAAATGTGCCAATCTTCTTCAACACTCCGAGGAGTTCCCCATTGCTCGCCACATCCAGAACATAGTATAATGACTTCTCATCCTGAAAAGTGTAGTATAGTCGAACAATGCCTGGGTGTTCCGTCAGACGGTTAAGAGTATTCTTCTCAATGTTGACATATTTGATCTTCTTCTCCTTGATGATGTGCCTTTTGTCGAGTACTTTGACTGCATACTCTTTTAATGTCTGGCGATCCGTCGCAGCCAAGACAGTGCTGTATGACCCTTCACCGAGTGTTCGACCAAACGAGAAATCCCTAACGCCCTTCTTTACAGATCTTAAAACTGGCTTGCCGCTCGAATCGATTTCTTGTCGCACGCCAACTGCAGCACCCCTTTCTTTCCACTCTTCACTGCTTGCTTGGAGTGGTCCGTCCAGGCCGTATGATTGCGATCCGCCCGGAGGACCTGGATTGGGCGCCATATTCGGGTTCGCAATTCCCCGACCACCACCCAACGCCCTCGAGCTATCTCGTGTTGAGCCATTGCCGGGTAAAATTGGCTGACTTTGACTGTATGATCGATCTCTGTGGCTGTCGTCTCGGATTTCTGCGCCAGCTGCCATGACTGCTTCTGCATTTCGCGATTCTATCCTCGGAGCGCTACTGTGCACGGAATTGCTCGAAGATTCGGTTGGTAGTCGATATGAACCAGGTTGTCGAGATGGTATGTTGTTTGCTGGCGGCGGGATGGGTGAGTACGCGCCGGAGACAGGCCTACCTCCAGAGTAGCCGCGTTCCCTGCCTGGTGCATGGCTCGACTGAAACGGAGGAAACAACGCTTCTTGTTGGGCCTGGTGGTTGAAGGGCATGGACTGCCCTGGCCTGTAATTCTGCGCAGAAGGCGCACGGCTCTGTTCTTGTGTAGCCGCCGACGGCTCAGTAGGCTCCGGTGTATGTTTCCGCGAAGGCCTTTTACTGTCGACCGATAAGCCAGACAGTCGAGGGGGTTCCGGATCGTTGCTCGGTTCACTGCGCCTCAGCATGTTGAAAAGCGAACGACGTTTTTGTTGAGGTTCAGATGATCCATCCATTGTCGTGTCCACAAATTCCCGACTTGCCACAGATGGGGGAGTGTCTGTCGTGGCTGTTGATGAGTCGGGAGACCCTCTGTCTGGGTTAGCAATACGCAAACCACCAAACGAATGTGTGAGGCTCAGGTTGTCGGGTGTAGAGTTCATTGAGCCAGGGGTTAGGCTTCCAGGATGTGGAGACGATATGCCACCCATGCCAATTTGTGGTGCTCCGCGCTTCGTCTGATCGTTTGGGTTCGATGAGTTGACAGACGACTGGGCGCCTTGTTGTGACGTTCCTTGGAAAGATTGTCCACCAGTTCCACCCGGTCCCATAGAGACACCAGACCCGTCGCGATGGAAGGACATATTATCCTGATCTTGTGGGCTTATTTACAACCGATTCCTGTTGTGATTTTCCAATAGCTTCGGATAGCCCTCCAAGGTGCTGCCAGCCAAGGCGATGCGGTGGCAATCGATTGTCGGCGAGCCCCAGGTGCGATAGGGGTGCTACGGTGGATAGAGAAGAGCAAGTCGTTTGGCCCCTTCTGGGGCAGAGCCTCACACTTTCAGCAACGTGAATAATCGAGACAGAGTGGTGTTGTGTCGTGGTTGTGTTTATGTTGGTTGTCCGCCGCCGATACTAGCGGAAGAAGTGGAGTGCCGGGATGATGGAAATTGGTAAAAGGGTACCCGGAGGTCGTGGCCTTGCGCGTTCAATACGATGATTCTCACAGCAGACAGCTTTGGCATATTATAAATAGATCGGCAAGTAATCATACTCATTACTTTGCTATATACAGTATTGATCTCTCGTTTTCTTCTATATGTGGTCATTTAGATGGAGCTATTGAGCTCTGCGCCATGGCATACACGTACTATGGTCGGCTGTGCATCCTGGATATTCAAGAACAACGGCGGTTCCTGGTCGTTCTTGCCGTTTATGTTTACCACATATAGATTATACTCTACTGGAGAGGTCCCTTGCTCCTTCCATATCAAGGATAATTCCAGTACTAGAATTGAAAACATCGCAACGATGTCACTATCTGAGCAGAGTCAGCTCAGCAACTGTTGGAAGCTCATCAAATTGTTGGAAGCTCAGCAACTGTTGGAAGCGCATTGCACAATTGGGAAGCGTTTACTCGCCCAGCCATTCATCATGCTTCGGCCTTCTCCTACTATGATATCTCTTTCCAAAAGAGACGTGGTAGAGCATTTAGAGAACGTTGTCCGCAAAGCCGCAACAGCACCATGCGGCGGTGCTGAACAACCTGCAGATACGAGGTTCATGCAACCTCTTTATAATCGTCAGTCAACTTTCATGGATGATGCCAGAGCTGCTACGTCTTGGGGCCAGTCCAGTTTTCAAGGCATTACTAGATTCAACACCCAGGATCCTATCGGAGGCCAATCTGACGGTGTAGATGTCTCCTTAGGGTCCAGATCATCAGATGGCTCTGATACTGATGAGGTTTCTCAGATGGGGCAGCCAATAAGCCTGTTGCTGTCCCTCGACAACGAGGACTCGGGAGCTGAAGATGTGTACCAATTAACTAGGCTTTCACTCCGAGATGATAATCCAAGTGAGGGCGTCGACATGAGGCAACCATTGGCATCTAGAAGCTCAGAACCAAGACGTCAAGAGACGCCACAGGAGAATAACTTGGGCTATGGTGGGTTTACGGAGAGACCTTCAAGCGATTCGTCATCGTTCGGTAAACCACCGTCCATTTCGATCTGCTGAGTGTATTGTTAATTTGCACTTGCAGTTCCCGATGATGTCTCTACTCCCCAGGAGGCGAGGCTGCCAGCTCTCCAGCGGCTTCGTGTTCGAAATCCGTTCCCGCGATCACCATTATACAGATCTTATAATCACCGTCTTTCCCCCGAAGGTAGTAGAAGCGTAGGACTGGCATCGCAATTGGTGTCTCCTGGGACCCCTGGGGTTTTATTTTCGCAGCCAGCGAGGCGTTCGAGGGACTACCGACTCCGTACATCAGCATTCTCACGGGAAGAATCCAATAAATCCAGATCAATTCTCGAGGATTTTGATATTTCCGAGCCAGATTATCATATTGACTTACCGCCGTCCATTGAGAGAAGTCAACTCCATGGTGCTTCGTTTCAGAGCCCTGATGGGGAAGTTAGCCATCCATCTTTCCGGCCAACACGCATTTTCCATCCCAGTGGTGTCGCACAGCCTGAAGATGAGATATCATCATTGCATACCACGAACTCGGAAGTCTCTCCGCATTCTCTGCATCTTCCACCACCATCCTCGACAAGGTCGAGGAGTGGATCTGCTACTGGGTCACTTCCGGCCGGGAACTCAAGCAGCACAGAGCGCAGTCCCGGAATTCATCATGGTGGGGATGCTGGTGATCGCTCGATAACCCCATCAGGCCTGGCCGGCCTTGATGATATCGCGGGAGGACAAGGGTTGCAACAGAGCTCAAGAGTGAGTGATAATCCAATAGTGCAGTCGGTCTTACCATAGCAGAGCTGATAGTCTCAGTCTGGCAGTGCTACTAGTAACGTCTCATCGGTGCCATTTCGTCTTGTCTCGGCGTATAGATCCAGGTCGCCGATTGGCCCATGGCATCTGCCGTCAAGGCCGTCGCCAACGATACCACGAGTCTCTCGAGACAGCCGGATTGCATCTTCCGCAAGTCGTCCCGGTCCAGCAAATACGCCATACCGCAGATTACAAGTGTATGACGAGCGAGTACCTGCATCGCTACAGCCGCAAACTCCGGATCAATTGCCTGAGGCGCGACACTTTAGTCCCTACCACTTTTCATACACGGCGCCAGCTGGGCGTCGACACGCGAGCGCGCAACAGCCTCGATGGCAACCCCCTCAAAGACGATGGAGGCGGCGCAGTGGGAGCCCTCCTGGTCTAGAGACGCCAGGCTTCGCAGGGCTCTACGGCGGGCAGGAGAACACGGACGACGAAGTGATGTTTGAACGGGCTGCCCAGCGACTGTTCCTCCAGCACGGGAGTAGCGGGAGGGACGTCAACAGGTCTCCTGGCAGCACCACTCCAGGAAGGGGGTCATTATTCCGGGAAGCATAGGATGGGTGGGGGGCCTTATTCAGCGGCTTGGCTGGTCCAAAGTCGGAAGGGGATATTCATGTGTCGCTATCCATATTGGTGATATCCATACTCCGTATTGGTGATAACAGACCGGCGGCCTCCTCGTGATCTGGGGTGTGATCTGCGAGGTGTCTGTTGGGTGTCTGGGTGTCCGTGGTGTCTGCGTTGTGATCTGCGCGTTTTGTTTGTGGGAACAATAATATCGGTATACTCGAGTTATGTTTGTATTACTTGGAACCCTGCTGTACGCACATGAGCAATCCGACGCGTCACATTAATGACATTAACTAGTAACGAAAAGGGACGAGTAAGAGAGAGTAAGCAAGAGTAACGTACGATTCTATGGTGAAGCAGGGTATACTCGTACCGTGATTCCTTTGATTCCCTTTGGTCAGCCCTATCAACGATGACGCTTGCCGTTTACCCAATATAGGCCTAGTTAGTCCATGATCGGGTTAGTTCCTTGCCACTTATTGCCTAATATGGTAGGTACTGCCTCCACCATTCTCTAGTACTCGGCTCTGCCGTAAATGATTTACCGTCTTTTACCGTCCGTCGTTTTCTCTCGTTTATCTCGTTTACTCTCCACTCCCCAATGGCTCCCCAATGGCTAAACGACAAACAAACGAGGCTGTTCTTCCGATCTCCGTTTGTTACTCCGTACTCCCGTATGCGTGCACTCTAATTGGCTCCTTGGTCCCTTCGCCAATCCACTTCAGCCTCGTTCCGCCCTTCGCCCTTCGCCCTTCCACCCTCCTCTCCTACGCCCGCCCACCTTCGCCCTTCGCATCTTCCGGCCATGGGTGTACTCATGGGTGTACTCATGGGTGTCCCAGGAGCAACTATCCCATCCCATGGCTGTCCCGCTCTCTCCGCTTCCCACATCGTTCCCTCTCCTCCCTCCCACTTCGCTCGCGTGGTCACTATGTGTCGTCTATGGTCTGTGGTCTGTGGTCTGTCTGTGGACTCCATACTAACAGAAACCCCGTCAGAATCCAATGGCCATCTTCCGGCTCTTGTTTTGCCTCTTGACCACTCACTGACCTGTGAACCACCCCCCATCCACCATCCACCATCCCTTCTCCCTTCCCTTCCCATAATCCCTCCAATCCCCCAGATCCCTATCCTCATCCTCACCTTCTTATTTGTCCGTCTCTCGTCTCGTCTCTTCTCGCCTCGATTCCCCCATCTGTCTCCTTCACTTACTATCTTTCCCATCCCTCTCTTCTTCCTCTCTCCATCTCACATCTTCCTTCCTTCTCCAATTCAACTCCAACTCTTAAGACCCTTCCTGCCCCTCGGTCCCGCCACATCCCCACATACCTTCAACTCTTCAATTTCATTTCACCAATTTACCTGTACTCTATTACAAAAGACCTCATTATCACTCTTTATTAAATTCCCTCCTCCTCTTTTCCCATTCACTTCTCACTTCACTACATTCGGGTTGCCTTATTATCTGTGTTCCTCGGTTGTAGCCTTGTCTGATCATGGGTTCCATTGGTCAATCCGCGTCGGCTTCACTCCCAGCACTCGACTTTAAAGAACAATCCTCAGCTCAGCACTTCGGAAACTATGGCACATCTTCAGTCTTCGCTCCGTCGAGCCATCACTCAATGGAAATTAGCTCCGGCTACAAATCCCAACCAGAGCCCCAGCAACGCGCCGGCCGCAAACGCTCACGCGACGAGGCTGGAATCAACCTAGAAGACAACGATCTCTTCCGCCAGGCCGTCAACGCATCGCTTGAACTAGGCCAGAATGCGGGATACGGCGATGGAACAACCCTGTTTGGGCCCAATGGCTCTCTCATCGACTCCGGCAGCGAGAAGCGATCATGCGCCGATGACGCTGCCGCATACTCGCTTCCCGTCGCCCCTCCATTGACAGCGCCAATGCCGATACTGCGCAGCCACAAGTCGCAGCGCCTGGATACGGGCAACGTGTCTTCAAAGACAGAGGAAGGAAATGCCTGGAATGGCAACACACCCTCGTCAAGCCCGACCAGGCAGAGCCCGAAGCGAGGTCCTACAGTCGATGATTACACGATGCACCTCGGTGTAGGATGGAGCAGGATAAGCAACGACGTGGACATGCAGGCCGCAGCGCGGGGATGGGCGAAGTACATCGAGAACCACTTCCACATCAGCAGCCCGAAGATACTCTTACAGAGCAACGGCCTCGCGAGCTACCTCGTCGAAGCGAAGGAGGGATGGTTCCTTTTCGGCGAGGACCTGGCGCAGGGAAGGCTGGTCGCGACGTCGTTGGACAGGACGTTTGAGAACCTCCGCACCTCGCCGCCGGTCTTTGATGGAGCGGAGGTCTTGGTTCCTGTCGCTGAGCCGGCGAAGCAGGCTGTGGAGGCGACGCATGAGGATATGGTGGATGAGGAGCCGCATGTTTACGCGGGCTCGATGAATAGAAGGAAGGAGTACTTGATTAGCTCTGGGATGATGGGGGATGGCAGAGCTGGGTTCCATGATATCAGCCGGCAGGATCCGGAGGATGGCATGGACATGAGCTGAGTCTATGGGGAGGTTGCGATATGGAGGTCTAATGTGCTGGGGCTTATGAATGGAGCTCAAAATCAGCTTTGCCTATATTGGCTTGGATGGAAGGATGGTGTGTTATATAAAAGCTGGTGTCGCTCAAAAAGTTGCGAAAGAGGCATTGCACAGCTAGGAATTGATACCTGCTATACAAATGAAGACAGCATAATTGCTCTATTTAACACAATTTTCAAGGAACTGGATGATTGAAAAGATGTGGTGTGACAATGATAGTCCTTGGTGATTAAGAGCCGCCGTTTTATCCATAGTTGCTGTAAACAACCAGAGTTGCGATGAGGTTTGTTGGCTGTTGTTGCTTCTGGGTGACTATGACGCACGGTCCCCATCATCGGTCTTCGGGGTATCATCGACCATCCGGGTTCGAATACCATCAAGGGTTGAAGCATGGCCAAGGCTATACCCTTGGGATTCACTACAAGAGGTAGAACAGAAGTACGGGGATACTCTAGTTGAGGCGAATGACAATTTACACCGTTGATGTTCCCAAATACCAGCTTCGCACAGAGTAGCAGCCCAACGCGCACATATTAAAGAGCAGTAATTCAAGTATTACAAACAAGTTTTCTATCAACACATACGCGTCGAAAGACCAAACCGACAGCTTCGAATCCCTTCGTAGCTGCCCTCCTAGCATACACCCACCATACAATAATAACGCCTAACCATTATCAAACCCCCCACACAACCAACGACGCCCCACGCACCACCATCTACCTCGTCCGGCTGCTCAACATCAAATTGACACTCTCCCTCACATTTTCCGTCCCCCAGACACTCCCCGCCCCTCCCTTCCTCCACTCCTCCCCACCCACATCCTCTCCCCCACCCCTCGCCGCCTCACCACAAATAACCTCCAGATCGCGCTTCTGCGAGCTAATCCACTTGAGCACGTAGTTCGCCGGGTCCTTGCCCATCGAGGTCAAGAATGCGTGTTTAGACTTCGAGTGCGCCAGCGCCTGGATGATAGCCGAGAGCTCGTCGTTGAGCGTGGCGATGTCGCGCAGCGTGCCCGCGTAGTTGGGGTTCATGTTAAAGGCGTGGAGGCGGGCGCGTAGCGCGCCGTCGATGGTGACGCGCACGTCGTAGACGGTCGGCTCGGGCTGCTTGTGGAAGTCTTGGTCGACGCGGATGGTGTAGGGGAGGCTGACGGGGGGGAGGGCGGAGAGGTGGGGGATGATGGCGTCGGTGATGCTGGGGATGTAGCCGGTGTCGCGTTGGAAGATCTGGGTATCGGTTAGTACGGCGAGAATGAGGAATTGAAGGCGGTCTGGTGCTTACCTGGCGCAAAATATCGTCACATCGGAATGAGCGCTTCTCGTCATCCTCTTGAAGACCCATCACTTTGACGTATTCCCATATTCCCGTCACGGCTTCTGCCCTTGTCGCCTCCTTCATATCCAAGATTTCAGCCAGGGGAGGGCTGAGCGTGAATCGTTCTGGCGTCTCGTCTCGGACAAAGTTGATGGTGATATTCTGGTTTTCGTCTCCTCCCCGCTTGAATTCTAGCACATCGAAATCCGCTGATGGAGGCAGACTTCTTGGGTTCGGAGGCAGAGCCGGTTTCTTCCACTCCACGTTCTGCTCGGCTCCGTCCCTTGATCGATTCTTGTCGAAATCAACAGTCATTGATTTGAAAAAATGCGAAAGGGCGTAGTTCTGGGATGGCCTTAACGCTTTTTTGTCCATGGTTCCCTTTTTGGCGTTGTCTTCCTCGTCATCGGAGTCCTCATCGTCCTCCTCCTCATTATCATCCTCGTCATCGCTCAGGAGCCTTCCTTCGATCTTCACCTTGTACGAGGCGTTTGAGTTGGTGTTGAAGTCGAATGCATCAACAACCAATCCATCTCCTTGCCACTCCTGGTCATCAACGGTATTGCTGACCCAGATGCGCAGGGTCCTGTGTTTCTTCATGCTGCTATTGCGCGAATCCTGGATATACATCCTCTTCCTCATCATCGCCGCATCCAGCTTCCGTTCGACGTCGCGCAATTCTTTATATCGCTGTGCGCCATCTCCGATTATGCAGCTCTCCACGCCTTCGGGGATGTTCTTGTCTGTTGGCTTGCGACTGCGGCGCTTCGCAAGCTCGATGGCCAGCTTCTGGCCTTCATGCTGGGCTTGCATCTGATTCGGTGCCGGCTGGAGATGTTGCCCAGTTGCCATTGGGGCTGGTAAGTAACAGAGATGTTAGCAAGGGTGGACCTCTAGAAATAGTTCGGCGCAAACGTCTGACGGGACAATGTTGATGTGCTGCATCAGAGATCTGGGCTAACTCGAAATACACGCTAGTAGACCCTAGAGTAACATATAACTGAAAGGGAATGACACGTACCAATCCCCTTCCTTGCGACAGGAGCGTGTGGAGACCTTTGATTTTGTGCAGCCAGCGGCTGGAAGGAGCGATATGAAGACTGCATTTCGAAATTGCACTGGGTCGTTGGTAGGCGCTTACAATAAAGTTGTCGTTGTCAAATATTGGCTTTCAGTCCAACCCGAAGGAGTCAATAGATCAGTAAATGATCATAGAAATCTGCAATTTACCTCGGTGGCTATCCACTTAACTACGAATCCACTCGTGTCTTCGCATCGCGTCCTACTCAGGTTGTTAAATGCCTGAAATGCACTAGTGTGCTGTAGGACTAGCGTGGTTTGCGCTATAGCCTTGAGCGCGTTTTGTATGGGACGACGAAGACGCTCGCGACAGTGAGATCGCGACAGAAGATGCCAATGAACCGACTGCTCCACTACTCCATACTCCATACTCCATACTTCAGTATACGGAGTAGAGTATATATATGACTGAGCTTCCACCATTTCGTTTAATTAACAGGCATCTTTGTAACAATTCCTGGATATTCGTTCGGATTACGCTCTATTTATCTTTATAAACTCCACCCACAGACCGCAATCACTCATATTCTTGAAACTTTGGAACCGTTTCCATTCCCAAGCAACCCTACATAACTTACATAACTCCATGGTCACAGAATCGAGGCCAGGTTAAGCACATGTTAAACGGTATACTACGGCAAATCCCAAGTCTCCTGCCAGCTTTAGACCCAGGTGATAGAGAATTTGAGATGCCATACGAGACCCGCCTCATACCCAAAACGCCACAAAGACGAACGCTTGTCGTTGGCTATTTTGGAGCCATGTTGTACTGAGAAAGGTCGAAGATTATGGAATAGCCCATTGGCAATCAAAAATCTTTTGTCCATAAAATAAGTTTCCACTGGGACTGACTATCACCAGCAGTACTGTATCCCGGACACTACCTTTGTTGAGAACCAAGCAACGCTGGCTTTTGGAGAGGTTCCACTGGTTGCGCGGGCATGTTGTTGATCTGTTTGATCAAAAATTCTCTCTCGTCAATGAACTGTTCATCCTCAGTCCTATCTTCGAGAAAGTGCTGGAGGAATTTGACCAGCCGCTCTCGATTTATAAGGAGTATTTTTTGGACTGCGATCGACTTGTGTGGATTTGCAACGAAAACTTTGAAGACATGGAACCCTTCGTACTGAACCATCTTTCGGTCATCTCGCAGCAAATTCATGCAGATTTTCAGATGTTCCCCACGGTCCACGTATGCTGTCATTACCGCATAGTTAGCTCTGTCTAATAATATCTCCCCCAAGAGCTTGATGGACTGCCGTTTCGTAACATAACTGTCCGATTTTACAAGGATGTTGTTGTATTTGTCAAAAAACAGGTCAAAGTTGGTCGATAGGTATTGTGCAACTATTTGCTTATGCTTCGTCAAAAGTTCCTGGCCATACATGTAAGTATTTTGCGCCCGAAATATCGAGTCGGGGGTAAGACTTACTCTGAATGTTGTGAAGGCATCTGCTCCCACTTCAAAGGATCCCTTATCAATCCACTCGAAAAACTTCCAGAAGACACCGTTCCCACTCTGCTGCACTTCTGGTTGTATTCCAGTTAGGCCTTTCGAACCATTGCCCCCATTTCCGGAGTCGTCGTATAAGATTATTGCCGCAGCTGCGTCGTTTTTCAGTACTTCTCTTAGTACAGTTCCCGCAGGTATTGCGCTCTCTTTATGTTCATATCCGTTGCAAAGTGCCACCAAGATTTCCGGTCGGTTGCTTATAACGTAGCTAAGTGCAACTGGGTCGCTTTTCGGAGATGCGCCTGCTGATCGAAATCGAAGGACGTAGGAAAAGATACTCTGTGCATCCTTCCGTGACTCAAAGGATAGCATGTGGAGATTCGTCGCAAGCAGATACAGCAAGTCTTCCGATATCATCCCAGTAACAAGCTGGTAAACCTGGTCTGGGCTACTCTCAGCCTCTACAATAGACGGTTAGCACATTCCCCCGGGTCGAGAGCCATCCTGCTTACCTGGGCTTCCCTGCAGTATAAGTTTAATCTGTAACAACGTTTTGGACAGCTCCTCTGTCTTCACACAATCAGTATGCGGCCCTAATCAGGTCGTCATATTCGGACTGAGTCCTACCTTTGCTGCCCCGCCAGGGCCATCTAGTCTTTGGATTTGTTCTTTTGCCTGTTTCGGCAAGTCCACTGTACTTGCCCTCGCCCTGCCTCTGCCAAACAGGAATGACATTGTGGTCCCTTTCTCTGGCGAGTGTTGCGCCCGGGGTCCTCGCAGTTCGAGTCAAGGCCAGCTCTATAAATAACTGATGTTTTTGTTACGCCGAGTGCCGTGAAACCTCAAAAGACTTTCTGTGTCAGCGTCAGAGATGCACCCAAAGTGATACTCAATATAAGTGAGTCTGAGAATGTGTTCATTAACTGAGTTGTTTGGAAACTGTGACTATTATATTGTTTTGATCCATAACATTAGAGCCTGGAACGTCACTGAAGCGCACGGCCATAAAGTTTATCCTTCCCGGGATGGCAACAGCGACCCCTTGGATAGTCCACCCCACCTATACAACACATCATTGAAGTAGCATTCACATACTCGTAGCCAGCTTTATGATAATTGTACGTTGAATACCAGTCCAACCCGCCACGTATGATGGGCCATCACTATGCGTTCTTCAGGGTCGGATAAGGTAAAGCTTATTGGCGCATCTTCAACGCGGCAGCCAATGGTACAGAGTTTATTATCAGCACGTGATACTACCCAAAAAAAAATACGCTTCACTTTGTAAATAAATATGCACACACCAACCAGAATATTCATAAAATAAAAAGGTCGATTTCTCACAACGGCAATGGAGAACGCCACAGAACTTGCGGCCAGCCAGGCGCCTAAACCCGCTGATATGAGTGCAGCTCCAAGGTCTCCCTCGCATAGTGGCTCAGACACATCTGACGTTGACTTGAACGAAGATGATGAAGGTTGGGAAGATGCTGAGCCTGAAGAGGAACAGGATCAAATTGTTTCCTTATTCGACGACAAAGTATTTACCGATGTGTCTTCTATGCTTTTGTACTGCAAAGAAAAGTATGGATTTGACTTTCTCGAAATTCGAAATAAATTCTCTCTAGATTTCTATGGTTCTATCAAGCTGGTAAATTACATACGCACCGCTGTCCGGAATGGGCAAACTACTTTGGCAGACGTTGCAAAGGCCGATTTCGAGGATGATAAATTCATGATTCCAGTCCTACAAGACGATGCGTTACTCTTCAACCTAGACGACCTTCCACCCGCATGCAAGCAAGGTGATGAGCCGGTCGCCGACGACCGCAACCTCCTGGTGCGCGTTGCAGAACTCGAAGAGGAGCTTCGGAAAACCCAGTTTCAATTCGAGGATTATAGGAGTGTGGTGAAGAAGACTTTGACAGACAAATGGAACGACACTTCCGCAGATAAAAATGCCGTTCTTCCTGAGCCACCAGCAGAGAAAAGAGACGATGATTCCCACTACTTCACATCGTATTCATACAATGGTAGGTCTCATATACCATAAAACACAGGGTCATATAATTAACAACCCACAGACATTCATGAAACCATGTTGAAGGACACCGTCAGGACCGATGCATACCGCGATTTTATATATCAAAACAAGCACCTGTTCAAAGGCAAGGTGGTGCTTGATGTGGGCTGTGGAACTGGGATTCTCAGTTTATTCTGTGCGAAGGCTGGTGCAGCTAGAGTCATTGCTGTTGACAACTCCGACATCATCGACAAGGCTCGCGAGAACATATTCAACAATGGGTTTGCTGATACCATTACTTGCCTGAGAGGTAAGGTGGAAGAAGTAACTTTGCCGGTGGAGAAGGTCGACATTATCGTCAGCGAATGGATGGGCTATTGCTTACTATACGAGGCTATGCTTGACAGTGTTATCTGGGCCAGAGACAAGTACCTCAAGCCAGATGGGCTCATGGTTCCTAGCCATATGAATATGTGGGTTGCGCCGGTTTCCGATGCCGACTACGTAGCGGATCATTTTACATTCTGGAGGGATGTGTATGGCTTCGATATGAAGGCGATGATGGCCGGCATCCGTGAGGATGCCCAGGTCCTGCACATGCCGGGCAGTACCATTTGTGGCGACGCCTTTCCTTTCCTCCAGCTGAGCCTCCACACAACTACGGTGAAGGACTTGGTCTTCACAAGGCCATGGAAGACTACCTTCACAAGCGATATCGATAGACTGGATGGGTTCGATATCTGGTTCGACACATTCTTCATGCCATCTGGAAGCGATGCCGTTCCGGTCGACGCAAGAGCGGAGGACTGGACTAAGCAGAAACAGAAGGGAGTAGCGTTCACCACCGGGCCGTTCGGCAAAGAGACGCATTGGAGACAAGGCGTGATGTTTATAGATCATGAAGGGGCGAAGAGCAGCAAAACATTTGCAGTAGGGGATACTTTGGAGGGAAGCCTTGAGTATGCCGTGCCAGAAGACAATTCCAGAGCGCTGGACGTCAAGTTTTCATGGGCTAGTGGACCAGACAAGGAGACCACGACTCAGACCTGGAAGATGAGGTAGACGGCGCTCAAATGCTATATACTACTTGAGTAAAAATGAATGACAGAAAAATAAGAAGTAACTCTATACTATATCAGCCTAACCCCCTTGTGAAACGTCATTTGTATTGAGGAGGCAGTTAGATAAAGGTCCCCATTCTTGTAAGATTCGTGCAACGACGAGGTTAACAGCAACAGGAACAACACTCTTGGAAGAACTCGTCGATTTGTACGTCATCTAGCCAAGGCGGTGAGAGGCGCTAAAACAAAGGGCGCTAGGGCGTCGATAAGATTGATAAGAAGGGACGATTGTGTAAGCAATCCGAGGTGGCAGGGTAGCTAAGAGTCAACACTTTATTCTGCTTTTCTTAATACTTAGAATATGGCCTGGTGCAAGTATGTTATAATTCCGGATATCCTTTAAGACAGATCTTATTTGCCGACGTATCTGAGCGGGCTTGTCCAATGCAGCTGTAGCGAAACCCACGATCTCGCTCGAACCCCCCAGAATACGACAGTGATGGCACCAGATAGAGGGAGAGCCGTAGAGCCGGCATACCAGACTATTTCAACTTTGAATAATCCAGTCATTGATGATGAGTTGAATGGTGAGGGGATGGAGAATCGGCTCAGTGAGGAGCTCAGCTTCCTCAGCGAACATGGGCATGAACCTCAAAATTTTACGCTTCGAGGCATATTGGTGGGGCTTGCGGTCGGATTAGTTATTTGCTTTTCAAATATGTACTTTGGGCTCCAGAGTAGGTCTTCTATTTCAGTACTTGGTTTTCCATACTCAAAAGCTAACGAATATGCAGCTGGTTGGATTAGCAGTATGAGCATGCCATCATCGCTGATTGGGTTCGCCTTCTTTAAAACCCTGTCCAAACATCTCGATATCCCGTTCACACCGGTCGAGAATGTCCTTGTTCAGACTGTGGCTGGATCCATGGGAACGATGCCACTGGGCTGTGGGTTCGTAGGCGTGATGCCTGCCCTAAACTACCTGCTTAAACCGGAGGAAGGAGGTCCATTGTTCCTCAGTCTTTGGAAACTTATTCTATGGGCCTTGGGGCTCTGCTTTTTCGGAGTTGTCTTCGCAGTACCATTGAGGCGCCAAGTAATCATAAGAGAGAAGCTGAAGTTCCCTTCTGGCACAGCAACTGCTCTAATGATCAACGTGTTGCATGGCAAAGATGAAGTTTGGGAACCAAGCACACAGCACCGAAACTCGACTTTTATGATTGGCGACGATGGCGACAGACATTACAGTGACGCATCAAATTCCCTGAGAGAATCGACCAGTTTTCCACATGATGGAACGACCACGTCGGCTCCCCATTTCAGAGCAAGTGCGACGGACATTGAGGAAGTCCAGGGTTGGGATAAGGGAAGCTGGGTGCAACGCGTTAAACTGTTGGTATTGTCGTTTTCAATATCTGGATTCTATACTTTGGGCACCTACTTCTTTCCCGTCCTTCGGAATCTACCAATATTCGGCTTGAATTTGGCTCAAAACTGGTTGTGGACACTGAACCCCTCCCTGGCTTATGTCGGCCAAGGCATTATCATGGGACCAGCTACTACTATACACATGCTTATAGGTGCCATCCTGGGATGGGCCGTTCTATCTCCGCTCGCAAAACACAAAGGTTGGGCCCCAGGGCCAATAGATGACTGGGAAGCGGGGAGTAAGGGATGGATCATCTGGGTCTCACTGGCGATTATGCTGGCTGATTCCATTGTTAGCCTGGCTTATATTGCCGGTAAACAGGTGGCGCCGTATGTATGGATCGTGTTGGGTCCAGCTTATAGGGCAAGAGCTGGCGGGGGTTGGAGAAACATTGTCAACTTCGGGTCATCGAGCGCCGGGTATGTGCCAGTTGACGGCGTGCAAGATTCCACGGTGTTAACAGACACCTTGTCCAATTCCCGGGAGTCGCCGCAGTCACCACCACAGCCTGCAGATTTGAAAAGCCTTCCCGAAATTGATGCGCCTCCGGAACACCTAGTTAGCGGGCGCGTTGTGTGGGTAGGATTGATATCCTCGATCCTTTTCTGCATTTTATGCATTCGAATCACTTTCGGAGCGCTCGTTCCCCTTTACGCAACCGTGGCAGCTGTTCTGATAGCATTGGTGCTGTCGGTTATGGGGGTCCGAGCCTTGGGTGAAACTGATCTTAATCCAGTATCTGGCATCAGCAAATTGGCTCAGCTCTTCTTTGCCCTGATAATTCCACAGTCAAACAAGAACTCCGTGTTGATTAACCTCATTGCAGGTGCGGTCTCTGAGGCGGGCGCACTTCAGGCTGGAGATCTTATGCAAGATCTGAAGACAGGACACCTCCTAGGTGCGGCCCCAAAAGCACAATTCTGGGGCCAAATAATCGGGAGTGCAGTTGGCGCAGTTGTAAGCGCACTTATTTACAAGCTATACACGAATGTATATCCCGTCCCAGGAGATCTGTTTCAAGTTCCCACTGGGTACGTTTGGATTTTTACGGCAAGACTAGTGACCGGGGAAGGCCTGCCACCGATGGCATGGCAATGGGCCATTGGAACGGGACTCGTATTCGCAGCAACTACATGTGCCAGAATTGTTGGCACTGATAAGAAATGGCATCCACTTATACCAGGCGGAATTGCTGTTGCGGTTGGTACGTCCTATACACTTGTCCATGATTGAGTGCTATGTTAACTTCTCAATGCAGGGATGTTCAATGTGCCTTCATTTACCCTTGCGAGAGCAATTGGTGGTTTCATGAGTTGGTACTGGAAGTCGTATCTGAGGAATCCAGAGACCCCCCTTATCGTCGTAGCGAGTGGCTTTGTGCTTGGAGAGGGTGTTGTGAGCATCTTAAACTTAGCCATGTCGACTATGGATGTGCCTCACCTATAATGATGTATTTGAATATGATTTACTCCATACATTAGACATACCTAATACGAGGTGCATTTTGTTTCCCAGAAGGGGTCTCAAGAGCTTCATATGGGACTAAATGGTTACAATTCGGCGTGTATTTATCTAAGCGAAGCTACTGTACTTCAATAAGTAGAATGCGAGGCAAGATATTTTTATCTCATTGAAGAGTATGTCCTGGGCCGGTCTGTGCCGATTTGAACCCCCCAGTTTTAAAATCCAAAACTGTCAAGCAGTGAATTTGCTTCTGGCTCTACGAACGCACTGGACGAGCCCTTTCCTATTAAATTATTAGAAGGCGGAAGATCTGCAATAATTAAAGAATCTCTACGCCGAAATGGTGCAGTTCGTGGATTAATGTCGTCATTGAAGGAATTAAGGGGGAAGTCTGATAGAAGAAACTTCCAATTGCGGACTGTATTGTCAGCATATCTAGTCACGTAGTAAGGCCCTTTGCTTCGATGAACGTACCAAGGTCAAGAGCAAGGATATCGCAACCCATGCGGTCGTAAAGCCTAGCGCTGTGCAGAACGAATGCCCATTCAACCTTCGGGGTGACTCGTGAAGCGCCTCGTAGTGTCTGCAACGTCATTTGGCGAAGCTGCGAGTAGAGGATAATTAACGCAGGGTCGTCTGTAAGGTATAATTTCGACTGCATGTCTGGGGTTTGGGGCGTCTCGATTAATGTGTATACAGGAGCCTTTTTGCGAATTAGAACTGTGAAACAGTTTCTACCTTGGCTGGAGAAATAATTACTTACAACAAGTGCTCGCACTGCCATGTCTCTCCTACGGAGCATCCAGAATGCCCACGATGCCAGCCAACGATTACCTTCTTGGGCTGCCAATGGAAGAACCTTTTCTTCCAAGAGCTCCCTTAATACAGGACCATTGTCGCCTTCAAAAACCCGGGTAATGGCGACTGCTAATTGAAGGTCTTTCAGTTGGTTGAGGCATACATTTACCGCGTCCTTGAGGCAGTCTGCCAATAAAAAGAATGCCGCAGCATACACTGTGTTGATTAGCATCCATCCATGAGACTGGTTCGCCGACACTTACTACAACGATGCTTCCCAAGCAAGGCATAAGCGTTTTTCAACGCAACTGTTTTCCATTTTTCCTCCTGGAAATTATTTGAGAGAAGTTTCAGGGTGGCCGCCTGTTCACGATTCCAGCCAGCCATTCGCCAAAGACCTTGAAGGACAGCCTTTTTCTTCAGCGCGATATAGAATAAGCTGCAATCAATGGGGTTTTTTTCATCCGACTTTGTGTATTCATTGCGCGCGATCATCTCGAATTGTTCCTTCTGGGCGTCTGTAAGCTCGTGGCTAGAAATAGGACGGGGCTAGGGTGCGTACCAGCGCTGTGGAATCGGTAATCCACATAAATAAGCCGCTCTCTCGCGCATGTTCCCAAAGCACACGGCCATGAAATTGCCGGGTAACAACATTAGTTAATATGTCCTGGCTGTTGCTGTGGAAGGCCCAGTTAATTTCTCTCCACGACAGTTGTACTTCATTCGCACGACCTTTATAAAGGGCGTGCTGACGGAAGAAAAGCATGAACCTTGCGGCGTTGTCATCCATAGAACGACGCTGCTTCTCAACTATAGCGACACACTCGACGGTATCTGCAAGCTGCATCTGCAGTGGCCCTGACAACTGGGGAATTGCCACCGCCGTGAGTTTTTCGTTCAGCGCCATGGCAATGTTCTCCGTCAAAGTCTCCGTGTCTTCTGTTTGGAAAAAATCGGTAAACGCTGATCCAGGCTCATTTTTCGATGTTTTAATCTATCTTAATCAGTCTCGCGTATATCTCTTGGGGATGGATATGCAAACTCTTTGGGGGTGGGTGTAGAAGTCTTCAAGGTCAAGGCCTAAAAGATTATCAATGTGCTCGCCTTCTAAGTGGGATTTTAGAGTTTGGTATAGCGTGAGAAGTATGCGCTGAACCATAGTCAACTTGCCAGCGAGAATACACTGGCCAAGGAACTGTGGATGGAATACCGGCAAAGGCCCATTAAGTCGCGTCACGGCGTCGAAAAGATCCCACTGGCCTTCCTTCCGTAAAGGAAGTTGAAGGTTTGCAGCGATGGAAGCAGGAACATTGAACATTTTATCGTAAACAAAAAGCTGATTTCCAGCACCAATGAGTAAACTGCCTCTGCCTAGCCACGTCGAGTCTCCAATAGGATGAGGGGTCAGATCTCGAATATTGATTTCCCGGATGGCAGTCCAGGCTGGGCCTTCATTGAGGTAATCATATCGCAATTGGGATAGCAGAAGAACGCGATGCTGGAAGCCAACAGCCAAGATGGATTGAACATCTGGAGTTGAGGTCCAGTCGAGGTCTTGAATGCCGTCTGAGGATCCGAATGACTGCGAATACTCAAGCTGAGCCCCTCGGACATCCCATATCGTCAATTCCGATCGGTCTGAATTTACCAACGCAGCCTTTCTGATCGAGCTTCCGCTAGCTAAGGAAGGTTCATGAATCCCTGTCTCTACGGAGCAGGTAAGAAGCCAGTCTACACTCTGATCTTTGAGGTTTACTTTGGCCGTCCAGGATCGTATGAACCCGGAGTGAGTATAAGATATGGCCACATCCCGCGCGAACGTGTCCAGGAATCCCGATGTGACCGGTGGCGACCCTGCAGGATCGACAGGTAATACATAAGCCAGATCATCAGCATCACCCAAGTCAAACGTACAGAATTCTCTGATGAATGTCGACCCATCGCTATTGGTCTCGCGGCCCTGGCTTGTTCGGGGCGGTAAGCGTAGCTCCCAGACAATACCTTTCATCTCCGAGCTAATAGTGGCAATATGAGCAGTGTCACCGCGTCTCTCAACCTCGGGCAGGACTAACACACAGAGCGGCCTTCCGGAAATAACATATGGTAACGATGCCAACCGTTGGCCACGATGTTGCCGACAGTCCCAGAGCGAAATCGTTGAGTGATGGAGAAGGATAACAAATGCCCCTCGGCGTAGCACACAGATCCGATGTATGTGTTCTGATACATCGATTAGACTTTGGGCTATTAGTGGTACCCCATTTTCGTCGTCTTCATGTCTCCAGACGATAGCTTCATTTCCATCAGTTCGCGAAACGACAGCTCGGCCGCTGATATTTCGAACCATCTTTTTCAGTGGCCGCGAATGACCCGTCCAGATGGCTCTAGGAGTTGTGCTACCAGGCCGCAGTTGTTTATCGAATAAGTTGGCTAAGCTGCGGTTAAAATGCTGGATAGTTCCATCAAAGTTATGCCAGATGGTGTTGAGCATGCCATCTGTCCTACTGCAGTATGTATACAGTCTGATATAGGAGTCATCTCCAGACTCAAGCTTCGGTAGAATCGATTCCAGTCCCGCAACGTGTGAAATGTTGAAAATATCTGTTGGTTTTCGAGCCTTGCCGCCTATATTCTCTAGTCCCCACGCCGACATGTTCCCCTGTTCATCGAAGATGATACAGATCTCGGAAGACCTATTGGCAACCTCAACCATGTGTTCAACTTCATGATTGTGGGCGGCTCCTGGATTGCTGGCTGCCTGGACAGAGTATTCTACTGACTTCCTAAAATCGCGGCCATCGATAAAACTGGCATAGCGAAATTTCATGGTTTTACCGGGCACCAGTGAACGAGGCTGGATAGACTCCTCGAGGTCTATTTGGCCCCATAACTGAAATATCCGCAGCCCATGGGTGTCTGTGGCAGCCCATATGCGGAGGATCTTGTCGGCGGACACAGTGTATAAGACGTTATCAACAGTCTGGTCAAGATGGTAGGGACGTCGCCAGCGTACGTCGGTCACCATCTGAGGGTGCGGAAGGTATGTCAAGTCAAATCGTACATCATCGGAGCCAAACGACAACCTTCTCCAAAGCTTCACCAGTCGATCGTGAGCTCCTGTTGAAGCAATGTACCCCGAGTCGTAAGAAAGACAGGCAAATTTTGTTGGATTCGCGACTGCCTTGGACCAAAGCTTCACGAGGCCATTTTCAGTCGAGTATAACGAGAGAGACAAGCTCCCCACAAGAAGTTCGCCAATGCCACCCCAGGAGAGTGTAGTCACCGGTTGGTCTAGATCGTCGACAGGAATGGAGATTTGAAGTGACCACTAACAAGAGTCAGATAAGTTATTTCTGGGAGCAGTGTCGCGACAAACTTTTAAGGCTTCTTCGTTTTGGCCATACGGCTGGTAAATACGAACATTACGCTCGGTACATGTTGCTATCTTGCCGGTAGCTTCGTCAAAGGCGATAGCTATTAGAAATGATGGGTCTTCGTCATACACCGTTTGGAGAAGGGCTGTCGGAGGTTCGAGGACAACGAATGCATTTCCAGTAATATATGCCTGTGACGGGCAAATTATCAGACATGGTTCAGCATAATCAAGTGTGCTACTTACAGCGAGTTGTCTACCATCCCAATACCCGGTGCAAATAGCTTGCAGCCTGGCCTGTGGCTTGCCTGGCAGAACTGCTCTCATACTAAAGATTCACCACCATGGCAAGCTCTCCCACAACCTCAGATTCCTAAATGTGGTAGACAAATGGGTCTCATTTGCTGCAGAATACAATCAATAAAAGTTTCCCGTGGTAGACAGTAATGCTTGATGTCGGCCGCAGTTTGTTACAGTATCTGGAAAAGGAGAACCTGAGAAGGGCCCAGCATTATACTTCTCGATCGCGACTGATCATAAACAACAGATAAGACAAGGCTGTCAATCCCTAGCTGTTACGTACCCATACCCGCCGCTACCCGCCAAGATGAGCGACGAGGTTAGCTTCACGATCACGTGACACATACATGAGGCTTCTGGACCAGTTGACCGATTGTCTATTTTTAAAAGCACGGTTTGGCATATTAGACTGACATTGAGGACACAAGGGGTTTCTGATAAATGATTTATTCATAACAGCTCACTCCGATCATGTTCTCTGAAAATATCACGACAATGTCTTTGGTACAGGGTAACTTATGAATGGGCTCGTGGTCTAGGTTTAAAGTCCACAAATGTTTATCAAAGTCTGATTGATGTATTAAGTAGTATTATTCCTCAGCCGTATTTATTACTTATCCGTTAAATCTTCGAATCCTTCGTTAATATTTGGTGGATTCTCGTTTGAAATCCGAGAATACGATTGGAACAAGCGACCAGAGAGTTCCGCACGCAATTGCCTTTCATAGGGGGTCGAGATTGGCGCCATTGGCGTGGTGGATGGCTGGTTTGCCGTCCTACTCATGAATGTTCTCTTTGAGGGCGTTTTCAGATAGCCTCGTCCAGGTGCTGAGTTGAGAAAGCCTCCACTCTTCTGAGTTAAGTATCCAAGACCAACATCTTCTCCCGTGTCAGAATGGGCTTCGGATCTCTCTGAAGAATCAAATATTTTACTATTGCGGTTTGTTACTGCCTTTGTTCCAGGTAGGCTAGCAGATCCCGGGCCTTCATAGTCAAACAGTTGCTGTCGCCAGTGTAAGACCATTTTTCGAACTGCTCTTCTGGCATGCTTGTCATGAAGCTCAGATACGAGGTGTTGATGGGCCCTAAACTGTAAGGCAAGACGGCCCCACTTCTTCATGGAAGCTATGTATAGGCGGTCCTCGTTGAATCCGCTAGCAACAACGTCCAAATGGTAATATTCTTTGGAGGACGATTTCCACTGAACAAATCTGACCCTGAGAATGGTTGGCAACCGGATAGACTCTAACCGCGATATCTCTAGCTTTCGAGCTCGCCAGCGAGCCAATGATTTGACAAGATGGTTATTTATTCTGCTGCCATGGAATTCGGATGCAAGGTTCTCCATACTGGTCACTGACTTAGACCGGCACCGCCAGGTATAAAGCACCCTTGAAGCAAGTTTCAGTTTGTTTTGGCGGCGCACACTTGCATACGCAGTCCGTCGTTTCTCTCTTCGGGATGCCTCTGTCGCATCTCGCCAAATTTTAAGAGCCTTAGTTGCAGCAAAGTAAAAGTTGGCATCAATAGCCCATTCGTGCAACTGCCGCAGGTCGTTCAGGTTCCGCGACCATGTCTTCAGCAAAGCAGTTTGAATCGGATAAGTATTGCGCTGGATAGCGAGTTGCTGAAAGCTCCTATGGACCTTCAAATTCGAACTCCATTTGCGCAGAATAGACCGTTTGTCATTCTGCTCCCGAAACTGTAGTGCGATAAGGATACCAGCAGACACTGTGCCAATCGATATCGTAGAGGTCTGTAGCATACGCTCAAAAGTGGCCCGGATAATCTTTTGGTTTGAAAGGCGGCGTGCAAGAATTAGGCGTTCCGCCAAAACCCATCTATAGAGGGCTTGGAGGAGATTCCTATCGGCAATGCGTAGTTGCAGGCCCTGGCATCTTATTTTGTCGTTCCAGGCTGTCCAAGCCTCCCTTTTTATCTTGTGGCGGTCAAGATCGCGGGCTTGCCTTTCTTGCGTAGTCCGTAAACGCCATATACCGAAGAATTTGACAAAAAGACCATATTTGACTTTCGATTTTATATGCCTCGAAGAGGGAAGTAGCGTATTGGCGCTACGCAAATACCTAAGAGCATTAACGCAGGAGGACCTTTTCTGCATTATCAAGCTTGCATCATTCAAGTTGGTGAGGTCCCGCGTCCTCCTGGTCCATATACCCCATATCAATCGCTTTGATTTCTCCTGACGGTGATATTGGCCAACTGTGCTCATTTCTCTTATTGTCTTTAATTTGGTAGTCCATGAAACCATCTGCCTTCTCTTTGCCATCTTCGCCCACCACATAGGGGCTCTCCTCTCCCGCAAGGACCACAACCAGAGCCAAAAAGCACGTGTTACAACGTTTCCGTGAAACAACGCAATGGAATGGCCGGAAATAGAGGATATTACCTCTTGGCGTCGCCGCCACGAATTGAAAAACTTCTTTTGGATGTGGCGGCGAACTTTAAGTTCATTGACTGCTGTGATTTCTCGCCAAGCCTTAAAGAATCGGGTTCTTAAGATGTGCCTTCGGGCCACTGACGTCCGCTGAATCTCGTCGGATGCGGTCGTAGCCCAATGAGTAAAGCTTTTTGCAAGCAAGAAGATATCTCGGGCCCGTTTGGCACGACGTTCAAGGTAAAAGAAGAAGTGCTCAGTCTCGAGGACTCGGCGTCGCTCACGGAGAGCAGTAACCCAGGTTTCAAGTCCTTGCTTCAGGAGAACATCTCTATCTCTGCTTCTAGCAAGGGCTTCAAGGTTGCTATTTCCTGCAAAGACTTGCGTAGCCTTTTGTTGCCAACATGCCAGTTTGTCTAAAAGCAAAGAGCGGTTCCGATTATGAAGAAAGAACGCTCTTCTATTCTCGATGACTGCGCTGGTGTTGATTCTAGAAGCAGCCACAGGAATAGGAAATGCGTGCATTTCTTGCGGATGGTCCACATGGCCAATTGGCGGGAGTGGTTGTTGTTCATCCGCATCGAGGGGTACGCTACCAGTATCGTCCTCACTCGCCGTGTTTATATGCGATATAATCCTTTCTTGCGAACTCTGATCAGAATTGGTGCGCTGGGAAGCTGCAGATAGGCCATTGGTATTTACTTCTGTAGTTAACCAGGATCCAATTCTGTGGGCGTTATCATCTCGCCCGAAGGGTTTATGGGGATCGGGCAGGGTGGTAGCAGGGAATGTCGTAGGCGGCCAAATGCTCTCGAGGGAGTTGTTGTCAATGAATCCCGGGCGGGGCAATGATTGGAGGGAATTGGATCGTGGCCTCCGCAAGACACCATCGTCCTTTCCGCTCCCAACGGTCCAGATGGATGTTTCCGAATTCCGCCTCTTTTGGCGCCGGACGTCAGGTCTGTCGACAAGGTTGAAGCCGGGGTTTGGAAGAATGTCAAAAGTGGAGCCTTCAGAAAGGCCATGGAGCGTGTGACGACCTTCCTCCTCGATTTGGTCGAACTGGATTTCGATGCCCATCTCCGAAAGGACATGTTCGAATTTATGATACAGAGATTCCCCGCCACGCCTTCCTCCAACTTTGAAGATAACACGCGCATATCGATTGTCATGATCGGCATTAACGCCGATAGTTGGGAGTATCGCATAGTATGCCTGGAATAGCGCGTTCGTTGGGATCCTTTCCGATTCTGGAAGGCTCCCAAGAAGCTCTTCGGCGTGTAAGACGATGTCGTACAGGATGGCAACATCTGCAGTCGCAAAAATGAATTAGCTCCTTTCAAGATAAAAAACCCGGCATAAATACCTTCGTTCGTATAGTACAGCTCCGGCTTCTTTGCAAGTTTGCTGTGGCTTGTTTTGGAGGACATCAGCCAGAGCGTCCAGCGACAAGAAATCAGTACAGTTCCGCAAGCTGAGTCCAATTACGCCACATAATGCATGAATTCAACACAACAGAGGTCAGTCGCTTCACGCAGTTTGGGGATTGCATGGCAGAATATTAGAGTCTCTGCTTGTCTAGTCGGAGTCTAATGGTGCCTTTTGTAGACGTCGTCGCGGAACTCATTGTTTGCCGTGGGATTGTGAACGCGACCGCGCTTTCAAGTCAATTACCAGAAAGCGCGCCAAATAAGTGCACGTGATACAGGGTGTATATTTAGAATCGACTACCCCGTCACAAACTAACTACAACAGAATTCCGAAATTCCCCTCTTGGGTTCAACACTTCCGAACGCGCACAAAAGAAGCATATATCTACCCTCGATCCCGCAATGCCAGGCAGGTCGAGACCTATCGAGACTTTTGCGAAAGCAATTGCTCAGTGCTCAGGCCAAGTTCGTCCACTCCTTCATGGCACGTGATCCGTTGTTAACGACATGATTTGCAGGCATCCGTTTATGGAAAATGCATAGTAGAGGATTATAATCATGTTCACAAGGACAAGTGCTTGACCGAATTTTTACGTTTAAAAGATTGTTATGTTGTCAGTATTTCCACTTGGTATGTCAGTTTTAGCATTGGGTATTGACGGCAAGTAGGCAGCCTCAAGGAAACCGTAAAATATTTACGAGGCAAGAGTGATTTCGCATTGCAGCCATGGAAATTTAACAATACTATCTCAAGGGTAGTGTATTGAAGGCAAGCTACTTATTTAAAGAGAGCGTCTCATTCATAGTTCTACCATACTGAATACGATCCCTTCTGTACCAACAATTGTTGAAAACCTCAAAGTTTTACCAACCTAAGCATGAAAGTTGCCTTTTGGATCTCTTGCTCCTCTTCCATGATAAGCTGCTCCACGTTAGTAGTGGCCACACCGTCGACTTCCGTCACGACGTGTTGGTCGACTGGCCTACGAAGGGCCTTTTCGATCGATTTCGCCTGTGTTCGGAATATTTCGGCGAGTCCAAGATTATCTGGGTCAGCGATGACATTGAACTCCATTTTGACATCATCTGTAGGCTGGAGGCCCGCCTTCTTTCGCAGCCTCTGCACTCGGTTGATGATCTCTCGGGATAAACCTTCTTCTGCAAGTTCTGGGTACAATGCAGCATCCAGGATAACCAAGACGTCCTCGTCTGTGTTTGTCTCCAGATTTTTCGACGAGTCATCCTCTTTCAGGCTACGCTTGACATGCAAATCTCCATCCCCTAGCACGATTCCATCAACCGTAATCGTCTTCGTTAGGACGAACTGCTGGACCTCAGCGCTCGTTAGGCCGGGAAGTGCCTTTTTAACCCTTTGGACGTCCTTTTTCAACTTCTTGCCCAAAACAGGCCAATCTGCAGAGACACTGTACTGCACATTGTACTTCTCCTCGTCTGATGACAATACAAGGCTGATGATATTGAGTTCCTCAGTGATGTATCCTTCGAGTGAGCGGATATCCTCCAGATAAACTGGATCTGGGTGTATGACAACAAGTGTTTTTAGCGGCGTTTTCAGGCCCACGCCACGCCTTTCTCGTGAAACACGAGCCAGTTCGATCACTCGCTGCATGCGTCCGACGCGACGCTCAACTTCTCCATTGAAAAGCTCGTTTCGAACGTCTGGAAAGGGGAGGAAGTGCACGCTGCGATCGTCCTCTCCACGCAGCTCCTTGGGGATGTGGGGAAGGAGGCGGCCATATATGTTATCTGTTATAAAGGGTGTGAAAGGGGCAAGGCCTTTAGTGAGAGTGAAGAGGACTTCGAATAACGAGTTCAAGGCGTGCATGGTGTCATCAAGCCCAAATTCGCCCTTCAGACGCTTTCTGTTGAATCGAATGTACCAATTTGTCGTGGTGTCAATTAGGTCAAGAAGGCGTGGAACGACCGTGTACAGGCGATAAGCTTTCGAATTGTTAGTAAAGTACACCGCGAAGAGATATTTAACCTACCAGCCATTTCTTCGTTAACGAATTTAAGTAAACTTTGGCAGCTCGCTAAGATCCACTGATCCATCACATTCGTGTTTGTCGATTCAGAGGCTGGGTCAAAGATGAAATCAACGCCAGCTACCTTCTTTAGCAAAGCAACTTGCCCTTCAAAAAACTTGTAGCTATTCCAAAGGGGCAGTAAAACCTTTGCAACCACCTCCTTCACACCAGCCTCTTTGAAGCGGAGGGGCTCGGCTCGTACAACTGGAGAGTTGATCAAATATAAACGCAGTGCGTCTGAGCCATATTTAGACATAACAATGGTTGGATCAGGGTAGTTTTTGAGCCTCTTGGACATCTTCTTCCCATCTTCCGCCAGAACTATACCATTCACAACACAGTTCTGGAAAGGCGATTTTCCAAAGAGGTGTGTGCCAAGCACAAGAAGGGTATAGAACCATCCACGGGTCTGATCTAGCCCCTCCGCAATGAAATCTCCTGGAAATGATGCCTTGAATTTATCCTGGTTTTCAAAGGGGTAATGCTGGCTAGCATATGGCATGCTTCCAGACTCAAACCAACAGTCGAAAACTTCCTCGATACGGTGTAGAGTTCCTTTGCCCATTTTACTAGGAATGGTAATGTGGTCAATTTTGTCTCGGTGTAAATCGGTTATCTCGCCTTCATATCCGCTCAGCTCTTTGAGCTCTGCAATGCTTCCAATACAAACTCGTTCTTCCAGATCGTCACTGACCCAAAGCGGGATTGGCGTTCCCCAGTAACGGTTCCTAGAAACATTCCAGTCTCGAGCATTCGCGATCCAACTTGCAAAGCGCTTCTCTTTCACGAAGGATGGCACCCAGTGAGAGTCTTGGATGTTTTCGAGCATCTGGGGTACAATCTCGGGAATTTTGACAAACCAAGATGGCACGGCGCGGTAGATAAGAGGGGTATCAGATCGTGGGCACATAGGGTAGCTATGCTTGATCTGAGACTCAACAATCAAGCGTCCAGTACCCTTGAGGTACTTTATGATAGCTTTATCAGCAGCTTTTACATGTTGCCCTTCAAAATCTCGAACTCTTGATGTGAAGTGCCCAGTTTCATCAAGGGGATTTGGTGGGCCACGGGATTTGTCAATGACTCCAAATTCGAGAGCAAGGTTGTAATCCTCCTCACCAAACGCGGGTGCCTGATGGACAATGCCAACACCACTATCATCAGTAACATATGTCGCGTTGAAGACACGGAATCCGTAGTCCTTAAATTCCTCGTAGAAATAATCAAACAGAGGTTCGTATTTCCACCCTAGCATGTCACTACCCTTGATCTTTTCGAGGATCTTGAATTTTGCTTTCTTTGGGTCTTTGTAAAGAGTGCTCAGGAGCTTCTCCAGTAGTATGTAGTTCTTCCCAGACAGTTCGTCCCGAATCTTGATATACTCAAAATCCGGGTGTGCACAGAGTCCAGTGTGTGATGGAAGAGTCCATGGAGTAGTGGTCCAGGCTAACAGAGAGGTCTCCGGGTCGTCCAGGAGTGGGAACGAGACGACAACCGCGGGGTCCTGAATGTCTTGGTAATTCTGATTCGCCTCAAAGTTGCTGAGTGCCGTCGTAAGGACAGTTGAATAGGGCATAACGCGGTATCCTTGATATACGGCGTCTTTATCAAAGATTTGCTTGAAAACCCACCAGACAGACTCCATGTAAGTCGGGTCCATTGTCTGAAGCACAGTTAGTCCCCAAACAACGCATAGTTAAATATATCCCGTACCTTATAATCATTATCGAAATCGATCCATCGCCCCAGTCGGTCAATTGTAGTGCGCCACTCCGCCGAATATCTCATGACGATAGCTCTGCATTCGGCATTGTATTTGTCCAGCCCCAGCTTCATCACTGCTTCTCTACCGGATATTCCAAGCTTCTTGTCGATTTCGTGCTCAATTGGCAGGCCATGAGTGTCCCACCCAAAACGTCTCTCTACATGGTAGCCTTTCATGGACCAATATCTGGGGATGATGTCCTTGATCGTCGAGGCCAATAGATGTCCATAGTGCGGCAACCCTGTCGCAAAGGGTGGCCCATCATAGAAAGTGTACGGCTTGCGCCCCTTGGACAACTCGACCTTCAATCTGTCAACATGTTTCTACATCCCAAGTGCCCGTTCCTATTTGCTCACCTGTCTTTCGAATGCTTGGATCTCTTTCCAGCGCTGCAACACAGCCTCCTCCTCCTTGGGGAAGTCGACAGACATGTTAGGCGCCTTTGATAGAAAGGACACCTCTGGCTGTAATGTGTGCTAGTTGTGTTCTGGAGAGAAAATGGCCTTGATGGTCCAGAGAGTAGTTGCACACCACTTAGTAGTCGGGGGGCAGAATCAAGTTCAGTGGGCCAAGTTGTGATCGAGTGAACGTGAGTACAAGTTTTAGGTGGCAGATTTTTCGACTCATAATTTGACTCATTAGGCTAACATCTCCTTAAAACAAACACAACGCGGCGCATTTCTATAAATTATGTTGCTAACGAAATATTAGGCTAGCACTGCTAACTCCCCAAAGTATATTAAATACTATTTCAATTACATCCACTGTCTACACAACTATTATACTTGAGGTGATTCTGGCCTGGTGAATTTGTGGTCAGTTCTCTGGGTTTATCGTGTGGGGGTTCCTTATCTACCCCGCCTTTAGGGCGAAATGGCGAGCAGCTACAATTTCGAAGTTCTGAAGGCTGACTAATCCTCAAATTGTCCAATTCTCCCCACATGCATGCATCTCTTTACATATTTTAACCCGTTCAAATCATGATAGTGCAATCAACTCATCTGAAACCTCTTATTTGTTCTTGCGCGACTGCACCAACTGAATTTCTTCAGAATGGCACTATATATACATCAGATATGACAGCTGGGTATAGTATACCACAATTAACAGTCCAAGGCGGGTACAACCCAGCGAGTCTACCAAACCAAATAGAACAAGGTCAGCAGCATACAAGTGACAATGCTCCCCAACCAACCCCAATCATCTCGGCATTAATTGGCGGTCTACTCAGGTTGCTGGAGCTGTTCGTCCTTGTCATCATCGCCCTCGTCATCATTTTCCCCATCAGAAACGGCTTCGCCAAGCTCTCGAAGTTGCTCCTGAATGGATGTTAACTTTTGGCCTACATAATAAATTAGGGTGAATAGGGGACCACAGTACCTTGTAGCGCGAAAGTTTATCTTCTGTATCCCCGAATACCATAAGCAGATCATCCAGCTCAGCCTGGACCGCTGCTTTCTGCAGTTCGCTTTCGGCTGCCAATGACTCAGCCTAGGCAAACCGTTAGCATATCAGCTTCTGGAACTGCACTGTCTGGCTTACCTTTAAAGTCCGCTCATGGGCCGATTTTTCGCTGCTTTCCAAATCCCTTGTTTTATCTTCTGCTCGTTGCACACGAAGTACCTGTTCCTCAAGCTGTGATGAATACTCATCATGTGCAGTCTGCAGATCTTGTAGATGGTCCTTGATAGCCTATTGGGTGTCAGCAGATAATCTCCGGCGGGCTAATTCTCCTCACCTTTTCTAATTTGGATTGTAAAGAGGTTATGCTTTGCTTCAGATCTGCAATCTCAGCATCTGTCCTCTTTTTCACCCGCTCCGAGCTGTCTTCAGCAGCACGTTGTGCTAGATGCAACTTCTTCACAGAAGTTTCCTCGATATGTTGTAGTTCAGTCCTTAGCTTACTAGTTCAATTAGTAAAGGTATTAAACATGGAGAACCAGTGCCATACTTCATCTCTTGGTTATGATGATACTGCAGCGTCTCATTCATGTTTTGTAACTTTGCGGTGTCCTGTGTTGCTGTTTCTTTTGCTTTTCTGTTGTCCGCCCGTTCCTGATCCAATTGCCTTTCTAATGACAATAAAGTCGACTGCACTTTCTGAAGAGTCTGCTCCTTTTCTTCCAGCTGTGAACGAAGTGAATCCACCATTTCTCTGGAGATCCCTTTTTGTATGCCATTTGAGATGACCGGTATCTCCAGCCCAGGATCACGATCTATAGCTCGCTGTATTCTGCTGAAGTTGTCTTTCACAAAGTCCACAAAAACGCTGTCGAAGTAAACATCAGGCAGTGTGCCTGCGCTTGTTGACCCAAGCTTTTGTGGTAGAACTTCAAAATCATGGAGCAGCGGGTGTCTCCGGAGCTTGTGCAGGCGATCAATGTATTGGTCCCTTCCAAGCTGGGATACCAAAAGCTTGTGTAATGTAGGGCGAGACAATGGGGAGTCTTTTGTAGAAAATTCATACACTATGCCGAGGAGCAACGCGCACAGGCCTTGGACAATCACCATATTCCTTTCTCCTTGTCCAAGAAGACGAACCAAACTCTGCACGTTGCTTCCTTCCCCAAGAAAGTCGTTCACAGCATCAGGGTCTTCAAATAGCCAGCCGCAGAGAAGCATCAGATAGCCCACAAGAACTCGTTCGTCATCGCCTCTTTGTAAACCGTTTATTAGATTTGCAGTAATAGTCTGTATGCATGTAATTTCTTCCTCGCCAGAAGAGGTGTCCCCCTCAGCAATTCCCATTGCTATGGCCTTTGCATCGCCATCTTCGCAAATGAGGTGGTACACGATAACCGCAGCAAACCAGTATCTGTAGGGATCGGTAGGTGTATCTCGGCTAGTTGGCCTGAGCAATGTGGTCAGGACGTTTGCTGTTTCGTCCGCGCCAGACGAGTGCCCGTCAATAGCCCGGCGGAAGAAGTGCTGTCTTATAGCCGGATGGTTATAGATATACGCTTTGATACACTCACATGCTGCTAGCCTGGCATCAAATGCTTGCAGAGATGGAATACTGAGCGTAAGGTCGAGCAGTCCATCTATTACATAGACCTTCGCACCGCGATCTTGTTGGAGGTTCGCGTCACCATTGGAGACTGGAACATCCACCACTGCTGACACCTGTAATTGAGCAAAGGCTTCTTGGAGATTAGAGTTTCCGCGAATAATATCCCCACAAGTTATGAGGGCCTAGCAGAGAATTAGTTCGTCGTCACGCTTGAATGGAATCCGAAACAAGCACACCTCGGACTTTATCCGCATTTCGGTTGAGTGATCGAATGCTAGTTGCAAAACGCTTTTAAGAACACCATGCTGCCAGAAAGAGGCTTGGTTTGCTGGAGTTCCGGCGGCCCCTCTCACAAGGAACAATCTAAGAACGGCAAGTAGAGCGTAGATGTTGCGATTGCGTTGCACTTGGGCCCATTCGGCCACTGTCTCCTCTTGCTCCTCTGTGTTCAAAGCATCACTGAGAAGCTGCCCTAGTTTTGGGGTACATCCGGTTTCTCGAAAAAACGACTGGTTTGAAACGTTCATACGAAGTAGATTGGCGAGGAGGATCAAGCAGTCTTCGACGACCCTGTCTCCACGAGATAATGCGCCTTCTAACTTTATAATGGTAAAGATCCTGTCAAAAGCATTTTCAAAAGCGACCAACTTTTGCAGTTCTGTTGAATGAGGAGTAAGGTATGTGAGTAGGGTCAAGCCTTCATTTCTGATTACCTCACGCCTGTCGTCTAGTATAGCCACTAATCGCGAAATTCCAAGGGGAGCGGTAAATATACATTCCTCCGTACGCTCTGACCTGGCCGACAGGATTTCTCCGAGCAGCTGTAAGGAATACAGTCTGGAGTAGAAATCACTGGTTTCCAGCAGATCTAGCAATATGGTAATGTTATCTTGACGTTGAGTAAACTCGTCTGCCAACCACAGCGAGATTTCTTCCGAGGCCTCTGGACTGCTTTCATCGGGGTTGAAAAGCATTATAAGTGTCTCAAGCACAACCTTTACGGTGTCCACATCGTCAACATCTTTGCCCAAGCTTCCAATGAGGCCCCGGAGCGCCCCTGAGGCAACCGACGCAGGAAATTGACGTGCAAAGCTCCTCAAGCCAAGAATAGCATTGCGCCTATCTTCAAGGAGCGTCGCGCTCTGAAGTCTACCACTGAAGACATTGATAGCATCGGCGGCTGTCTGTTTTGTGGGGCCTTGTGCGATTCCGAACATTTCTTCTTTATAACTTCTTCAAAACGGCCATTGGGTTCAATTCAATGTTATATTTCGTATGGCATCTCGATGCAGGCAAGGTCAGGAATAGCGGCTCGTAGGCGGTGTGAAGACACCAGGGTGGCCACGAAGATAGCTGTCGAATGACCTGAAAACTACAATAGAAACTGTAGATCTATTAGTCTCTTGTTGCCTACGTTCGAGAAATGAAATGGAATGAAAGTTAGACTCCATACAGAAAGGCCTCCAGAGACTAACAGGATGATCCAATGTGATTTTTGGTTGGCGATACGTTACGGTAGGAATCCAAAATTAATGAGCTATTGAGGAGACCTGTCGTAATGAGCTGTATAGCACACGCCAAAATTGGCGGTGCCTGTCTTGTATTCGCGTACCTTGGTAGTTTGGCTGTAAAGAGTAAGGTTCCAAAATGGTAGATGTTGCAATAAGCAAACATCGGTCCTAATTTATATACACTTATAGCATGTGCTAAATAATAATAATCCAATATTTACTAAGCAATAAACTCATATATCTCTCGCCTGTGGTTTGTAGTTTTCAAAATCGTTGTTCATGAGGCTCTCAAAATCGGTCACGTGATGATATCGTTTTCTTATCGACAAGCGGCCCAGACTTGTCGCATTGTTTGACGCGACTCGTAGACCGATAAAAAATATCAAGGACTTTGGAGTCGCAACAGCACTCTAGTTCTGCCACTTCATCAACAACGGTGAACTTTCGGGGAAATGGGTATCCCAGCAGCTTTCAAGTGGCTTTCCACAAAATATCCCAAGATTCTATCTCCTGTCATTGAGGACCACCCAAAAGATGTCGACAACGTCGCGATACCGGTTGATGCTACTCAGCCGAATCCAAATGGAGAAGAGTTCGACAACCTCTATCTTGACATGAATGGAATCGTTCATCCATGCTCGCATCCCGAGGATCGGCCTCCTCCAGCCAACGAGGAGGAGATGATGCTTGAGATTTTCAAGTACACCGAACGAGTGTTCAACATGGTTCGACCTCGAAAGCTACTAATGATAGCCGTTGGTATGTTACTTGCCACAACAGGCTTCATCCTTGTAGTTTGCTAACAGACCGCAGATGGCGTTGCCCCACGAGCAAAGATGAACCAACAACGTTCGAGACGTTTCCGATCAGCACAAGAAGCCAAAGAGAAGGATGAAGACAAAGCGGAACTATTGAAAATGCTGAGGTCTCAAGCAGGAGGCCAAGTCGAAGAATCTACGTCTGAGGCGATGGTCACAAAAACCTGGGATTCCAACGCCATTACGCCAGGAACGCCATTCATGGATATTCTTGCGGCAAGTCTACGCTATTGGACAGCCTATAAACTTAACACAGACCCTGCGTGGGCAAAGGTTAAGGTTATCCTATCAGATGCCACCGTGCCTGGGGAAGGAGAGCACAAGATTATGCAGTTCATACGATCCCAAAGATCTTCCCCGGACCATGATCCGAATACAAGACACGTAATATACGGTTTGGATGCCGATCTTATTATGTTGGGATTGGCTACGCATGAGCCACACTTTCGTGTCCTGCGCGAAGATGTATTTTTCCAAGACTCCAAGGCTCGAACCTGTAGGTTGTGCAACCAGAAAGGACACGAAGCAAGGGAATGTCGGGGCCAGGCAAAGGAAAAGGACGGAGAGTTTGACGAGAAAGACTCAGTTCAACCATTGAAGCCTTTCATTTGGCTACATGTATCAGTACTACGAGAGTATCTTGAAGCTGAACTTTACGTCCCTAACCAACCCTTTCGATTTGACTTGGAGAGAGCCATCGATGACTGGGTATTCATGTGCTTTTTCGTCGGAAACGATTTCTTGCCTCACCTGCCAAGTCTCGAAATTCGCGAGAACGGTATCGATACCCTGATGGCCATTTGGCGTGACAATATCCCTCACATGGGAGGCTATGTGACAAAAGATGGCCATGTTGACCTGGAGCGGGCACAATTCATTATGGATGGGCTAGCTAAACAGGAGGACGCAATTTTTCGCCGCAGACGCCAGACAGAAGAGCGTCGAGATGCCAATGCTAAGCGACGAAAACTTCAGGAGGAAAATAATGGGCGTGGTGGCAGAAATGATACTCTAAACAAAGGGAGATTCAATGGTAGACCCTCGAATGCTCCGATCGATTTCCCGCTTATAGTTCCCGGAAATGTCACCTCCAGCATTTCCAAGGAGGCTCGTTCTATCACGCACGAAATGGTCGTCAATCGCGGAGCGATAGACAAGGCGAATGTAGCTAATAAGAGTGCAGCGGCTGCTCTGAAGAGCCAGTTAACTGGGGTAAAGGGACCAGTGGATGATACTACTTCGACCCCACCAGTTATTGAGACTGTTGCAACCTCTTTCGAGAATAACATCTTATCAGGGTCGCCCATCTCAGCTCTAGGGAAGAGAAAGGCGGATCTGATCGAAGATGACGGGTCAAACACGCCTGTGACAGACACGTCGGAGCCGGTTACACCAAGTGCCCCCGTTGATGAGGCTGCAGTCGACAATGTTCGCTTGTGGGAAGATGGTTATGCCGACCGTTACTACGAACAGAAGTTCAAAGTTGATCCGAGAGACACAGAGTTTCGCCACAAAGTTGCAAAAGCTTACGTCGAAGGTTTGGCGTGGGTATTATTATATTATTTTCAGGGTTGCCCATCCTGGGAGTGGTATTATCCATATCACTACGCACCATTCGCGGCGGACTTCGTTGGATTGGCTGATATGAAGATCAGCTTTGAAAAAGGCCGAATATTCAAACCATTTGAACAGCTGATGGGTGTCATGCCTGCAGCATCCCGACACACTATACCAGATGTCTTCCATGACTTGATGACAAACGAAGACAGTGAAATAATCGAATTTTATCCTCCGGAATTTCCGATTGACCTTAACGGCAAGAAATTCGCCTGGCAAGGCGTTGCTCTATTGCCTTTCATAGATGCGAAGAGGCTTCTGGCCGCGATGGAGCAGAGGTATCCTTTACTACCACCGGAAGAAGCAGCTCGAAATACGCTAGGAAATGATGTGTTGCTTGTGTCCGAGGCCCATCAAAGCCTCTACGATGACATTGCTACCCATTTCTACTCCAAGAAACAAGGCTCTCCTCAGTACCAACTGAACCCTCGCATTAGTGACGGCCTGGCTGGAAAGGTCGAAAAGAATGATGTCTACCTTCCCCATGGTTCGCTGACATATCCGCTGGATGGAGATAGCATGCCAAGTCTCGATGAAGACCGGTCAATCAGGTAAGTTGTATCATATTCTCCCCACTATCCAAATACGGCGTCTAACATGATTATCAGCGTCCATTATGAAATGCCACGATCAACACATGTCCACAAGTCAATGCTGTTACGAGGCGTAAAGTTTTCGACCCCCGCCCTCAACCAAGATGACATCCAAGCTACGAAGGGCCGTGCGGCAAACGCAGGACGAAATCCCGGTGGTTATTCGCAAAGGGGTCAATATGGCGGCAGGGGCCGTGGGGGAGGATCTCAGAACTACGGGAATCAATCGTCGAACCCGTATCCTAGACAGCAATCTTCATCGCGACAGGCCTATGGTAACCAGCCCGCTTACAACCAGTACCCCGCCCCACCGCAAGGCTGGCAACCGCCTCCACCTGGTGTCGGTGGCTTCGCCCGTAACCCGCCTCCACCTCCACCTGGGATGCAAGTTCCATACCCTCCAGGTCGCGCGCCGCAGGGAGGTCCACCAAACGCTCAGTACGGCTCACACTATTCAGCGGCACCGAATTACCCACAGTATGATAACAACCGTTCAAATGGCAGTCATGGCAATGCTGGAGGCGGTCGACCAAGAGATAATTACCGTTATTAGATCATATCGATATTGCTAGAGTAGCGAATCACTTGTAAAAATTATACGATATTTGAAACTATGTTCACTGTTCCGAAGCAAATATGACTCCATAACTGCGCCTTTTTGAAAATAAAAAATGGAAATGCTGATAATTGGAGATATCATGTCACATAACCCCATTTTGAAGAGTGCCATATTGAAAAGTATCCATGTCTAGCTCCTGCAGGGTTCTACTAAATGGACCCCAGATAGGTCCCGAGAACCGAGCGTTTAGCTCTACCCAACGGGACAGCGTCTACAACGCCATCCATACACCTTGAACCTACAAATATATTATATTCCACGCCTAGGGAAACCAGACATCTAAGTAACTACAATCCCGAAAGCCTATAGGCACGCTGCTCATAGAAGTTCGCCGGTCTGGTCGAATTGATGATTAATGTTGCGCGCCTGCAACTCGTTGTACGCGCCTTGTTACAGATGTAAAGACGGAACATACCGTCTGCCTCTTCAAAGGCCACGAGCTGTACTATCCGGACGACAGAGCTCCTCATGGCTGCGAATGGCGACCTAAACCTGGTTGCTTCGTTGGTGGATCGCCTGGCTACTCGTGTACCGTTGCCCCCCTCATCGAAATCCACAATTGCTAACTGAACGGAACAGCTCCCCCATAGGACTGGATCCAGCTTTCGAGACCTACGGAGCGACGACCTAGTTAGTCTCACAAGAGCAACACTGATAGAAGTTAGCAGCACATATCTCAGCACAGTTGCGGAATCTCTTGTGTTACTCTTAGAGGAGTTGACAGCCCAGTACAAAGACCTCGATACACACCCCCCACACGTCGTTAACTCCGAGCTGTACATTATCCATATCCTCGCAGACTGCTTTTCAGCGCACTGGGATGCCGTGAATCGAGTACCGAATTATCAACCAAAGAATGCCGATCAGCACTCTATCTCTCGCAGTGGGCGTGTGGACAGTCACAGTGGCACGGATGAGGAAGAGTCAGCCCAGGAGTCCGCCACCAGACGCCTAGTCTTGCCAAAAGCATTAGATGATATCCTCGCGGGAAGGGTTCTTGAAGCGGTCAAGATTTTTTTAGCTCCTTATCCCGAACAATACACCTTGCCCGCATCTACTATTCTAGAGTACAGCAATTGCAGACTTGCACAAAACATACCGTGTCGCCTAGACAATTCGGATCCGGAAAATAATTCTTTTGGGAAAGGACCAGGTCTTTATTCCACGGATGGGACATTGCAAGACATTGAAGCCCATGCAAGGACTATCATAGAGTTCTTGTCGGCCTCCAACTGGGATCTATTTTTTGAACATTTGAAAACCTCATTTCGGTTACTCCAAGTTGTATTCCCTCTGCAAGGAAATGGCACCCAGGCAGCCCCCGTCCTGGATGACGACAGGAATGCCTTAGCTACACTGCGCATAGTGGCATTCATTTGGGTGGACAAGCGGAAACTCAGCTTAGTTCTGTCGGAATTATGCAGTTGTTTCTTTCACTTGCGGAAAACATTCCAAAGTACACTGGGGCTTGCATTGCCCATCTTGATTCTGAGATGGGTAGAGCAAAACCCCGATGATTTTGTACTGATGCATAATTCGCATAGCAAAATTGACGGGGTTGACCGCCTCTTTGATATTGCAAATGGAATGGTTGATAGCAATAGGTGGAAAGCCGTCCTTTACCCATTTCAAATTTTTCTTTTATTTCTAATTCCGGATGTCTTCGAGGTCGCAACAAGCATGCCATCTACAGGCAGATATCTCGAAAATGGCAGTTTGCCCAAAGCCAGTAGCGGGATATTCAAAAAGGTGTCCTTTTTAGAGAGCCTTCGAAAAGCTCTGCGCAATAAAAACCCTGCTGCGGCTTATTGCCTCATATCATTGCTCCGAATCGCGAGACATTTTAGCCTCGAGGGTAACGACTCGGCACTTCTTAGCTATGCGTTAGACGTGCAGGAGGAGGTGCGAGATGCTCTATTCAGAAAGAACATAGTTGGGAGCGAAGGGGCCATTTTTGACGACGGCCTCATGACCGCTGCCTTTGTGAGCCTCACCCACCTCAACTTCGAATCTTGCAATGAAAATATTGCTCCGCAATGCCTTTCTTCAAACGCGCCAAACGATTTCAAACTGGCATTTGTGTCGGCTTGTTCTAACCTAGCAAAACTACCGAACGCGCATTTATATACAGAGCTATTTGAGAAAATTACAGGTCTTATTAGGGATCATCTCAAGGTAACTAGAGCTCCGGGTTCGAAACAGCACCTGCTAATCAGATAAGGATCATTCTCATGAGCCCTATGGAGCTCCAAAATCAAGCTCAAGTATTGCGGAAATGACATATCGATGCTTGGATTTCCTCAACGTTCTCCCACTAACGCTTTTTGGCGGGGCGCCCTCAAACCCCGTTGACTACGAAGTATTTTTCCAGGAAAACTTTGCTATTCTTGTCGGTTGTCTTGTGGACGAAGATCCTAAAGTCAGGCGTATGGCCGGTTCTGTGACCAGAAAGCTGTTGAGGAATGGGTCCGTCTTCCTGCTGCATAAAGGAGCAAGCAAAGACTCGGGATTTTTTCCTGCGAATTTTTGGAGGTCAACGTAAGTAGGTTTTTGTCGTGTTTTTATCCATAACTAACTATACCCTCAGATCAGCAGTCCTTCTCAATGTCCTAGAACATGCAGCCAAGTTGGGTAGACGAGGAGACTCGGTTTTGTCTTTTATACATGATTTTGTTGAATCTAGGGTGGAGTTAATCAGGTCCGCAAAGGTTTGTAAAAATTTCAAAGTGCCAACTTGAGTCTGCTAATTGATTCTTAAAGGATGACTTAATATCTCAAGCTGAAACCCCCCAGCGCCTAGCATCATTGTCGAAGCTTGAGACATACTTCTTAGTACGTCTTTGCTCTGCAGATATTGAGATTTGCCAGATTGTGACAGTTTGTGTGGGGCTTCTTTGCGAAGAGACGCAGATGGTTGATGCAGCCTACGACTCCTCGAAGTCCCCATCAACTATCATGAGAAACATTGAAGTATACCAGGATTTATCCTCTCGGGATTTTCACTTCACTGGGCTTGTTGCATTTCAGAAACGATTACGCTCCCTTTTACGGCAAATGAAGCATCCCAGCGCTGCAGTTTTAAGCGCGTGGGAGATTGTTTTCGGCAGGTGGTACGACTTATCCAAGCGGGCATCTACGCACAGACAAGACGAAACCCTTGACGAAAGATCTTTAGTCGAGTGGCGCAATTGCTCTGGCTTCCTTGCTTCCTTAGCCGCGTTGTGTATTTCAAAGCAGACCTCCTCGGTGATTGAAGAGTCCGGTCTCGCAGGTCTAAAGTGGATCGACCGACCCTCACAAGACAGCTATGATAATACCTTATTGGATAGGTACATGACGCAAAGTGTTCAGCTTTTGGCATGTAACAATGCTCGTATCCGCGAAGCTATGAGGGAGGTATTGTCAACAGAGATATCTCCTTCGTTATACCTCCCCTTGTTCAAAACCCTTGAATCTGAGCTCGAGACGCTGTTCGATGGACCAATCGATACGGCAAACCGTTTTTCTGACTCCAGAATAGCATTCGCTGAGCAGGCAGCAGCGCTATTGAAGACGATTATAGAGAGGCTCGGCAGTCCCGCTGATATGGGCGCCGCCCTCTCTGTTGACATAGGTGCTTTAACCCTAAACTTCGCCAGGTTTCTCAACAGTGTGAGCGAAGGGCTCCATACCCTGAGAATCAAGATTAAAGTGTGCCAGTTATGCGAGGTTGTAACCCGCAAAAAAGAGCTGCTTAATTTGCGACATGATGTTCGGATTAGGAATCAACTTCTAGAGATAATGTTTGGATGGATTGCTCGGCCGGGTTCTCCAAAGGCCGATAATTCCGCTATGGTCGACGGCATCCATCGAGATGACGCTTTGAAACTTCAGAGAGATCTAGACAGGGCCTGTTTGAAGGCTCTGTCGGATCTGACGTTTCGGCTCCCTCTTCAGCCTCCTGATGGACAAACTGATGCCGATACGAGTGATTTAAAATCCGAGATGTTTCATACATATTTCAATAGGTTTCTATCCCTACTGAGTTTTGAGCCCACCGATCAGGGCAAAAATGATGTCGCATCAAATTTGTCGGCCAAGGAGGACTCCCTGTCCATTCGCGAGCTGGCCATTATCGCACTATCAAATCTTTTAGGCGCAAACATTGACGTAGGTCTCAAGCACTCCCTCGGCATAGGGTATCACGAAGATCTAGAGATCAGAACCGCGTTCGTAACCGTACTTTGCAATGTTCTAGCTCAAGGCACAGAGTTCAATAATCTCTCAGATGTTGCTGTTGGAGAGAAATATGACGAGTTAGTTGAAGTAAGTATAATCCACTGCGTAATTTGCAACATGCTAAAATCGTGACAGGTTCTGGTCAATGACATGACTTTAACTATTGCTCTCTGCGACGCCTGTCCTAGTAACGAAGTGGACGAGTTGACCATGTCACTTTTGAATATTTTCGACTCCAGGGGGTTGGGATTTATTCTTCTAGAAGAGCTGATCAAGCACGAGGTTGATAATACAGGTAGGGTGCCCCTTCATAAATCGAATATGTGTGAATGCTAAATCGCTATAGAAAATGAGGCCGAACTACTCAGAAGAAATTGTGTCACCACGAAGATGCTATCTGTTTACGCACGTTGGAAAGGTTCATCGTATTTAAAATCGACGTTGCAAAAGGTTCTGGAACGCCTCATCGTCACAGCTCAAGACCTTGATCTAGAGCTTGACCCTTCCAGAACGAGTTCCCCCGAAGAGTTGCAGCGCAATACTCTCCAGTTAAGAGTCGTCGCCAAGGTTTTCATTGACGATATATGCAGCTCGGCCCCAAATATTCCCATTTCTTTCAGGAATATCTGCAGTATTGTGATTATCTCCAATCCATATTGAATGTTGCCAGTTGCTAATAAACGGCCTTAGATATCTTCGTCTGTCATGACACGTTTTCCAGATGCAAAGTTTACTGCTGTGGGCGCATTCATTTTCTTGCGCTTCTTTTGCCCAGCCATTGTCGCCCCGGACGTCGAGGGGTTGATTAGTACAGCGCCATCGAAAGAAATGCGTCGTGGACTGCTTCTTATTGCCAAAATTATTCAAAACCTCGCAAATAATGTATTATTTGGCGCCAAAGAGTCATACATGTTTCCCCTGAACGATTTTCTCACTCAAAACATATATGAGGTGACAGCCTTCCTCCGGACGATATCGGTGAGTGCTACTCTATATTATTGGGTAATATATCTAACTGACACACATTAGGTGGCCCCTCATGTAGAAACTACTGGTATCGAAATGGAATCATTCGATTTTGGGTCCTGTGTAGCTCTCCACAGGTTTTTCTACGACCACTGGGACCATGTACGGCAAAAGCTAGTAGCCCAGCAACGCAAGGATTCCCTTCATTCTCCCCACGAAATCACGCTGGGTCGTCTCCCAGTCACAGAGGCACTGCGGAATCTCATCAGCAACCTCGGTCCACCACCGATGGATATCTCGTGGAATCGACCAATGATTTCTATGAACAGCCCTCCCTCATACTCGAGGTTTCAGCATTTCATGTTGAGCCATGCAGGACGAAGCACCGAGTCTGCCATTTCAACTCGGACCGTATACGATGGTGGCGAGAGCAAGGTAGGAGTGTCCTTTCCCACGCGCCTCCAGTACTGATTTGTGCTCAGGACGGCCTATCAATGATATGCATAATTTTGAGAAACATTGACGCCGAAACCAATGATTACGATCTATTAGTCTACTGTTACCTGAAGGTATGATTCTGGCCATCTCCATCAACTAAGGATATTTTTTTAGGTCCTGAGAGCTTACACGACCAACAGATTGCTAGCCGCATGTGGCACCGACCCTTTGGGATAATGATTGATGCAACATGCTATACCGGGCAAAACGAGCCTCAAGATGCGTTATTCAAGAAACTAGATCTTCTTACACCCACAGAACTATCGAAGAACTTGTCATGCGTTTATGTGTATAATATGAACAGTGCGTTCAGGTAAGAGCCACATATCGTCAATCCTTTTTATGGCCGCGTGACGCTAATTTGTCAGGAAATGTTTCCGCCGCATACTGCGCTTGTCTGCAAAGAATGAGAATAGCGCATTCCACCCTAAAAACGTGGACTACCATCTTATTGGCAGTCTGCAAGATCTTCAAACACACTTTCATCTCAGTCAACTCCACTTACCAAAGGAAACCATCAGCGTAGTCACCGACACAAGATTTGTCTTCCAACCCGTAACGAGGCTTTCAAAGACAAAGGGCAAAATCGAGGTTATGATACAAGTGGGTAGCCAGTTCGTGCAAGTAACAACGACCAAGAAACAGGAGATTGTTCCTGGCCTTAGGCTTCATGCCACCGTAAATGACATATTTCGTCTAACAGAAGTTGATGAAGCTCCGACATCAATACAAACCGAAGATGACTCTGCCTTTGGGCTTCGCGCAGACAGCGGCAAGATCGTCATGTATTTTACAAGCCCGAGGAAGTCAGATGTTCTCCAAGCTATTCGAGGTGCCAAAATCAAATACTCCAAGGATTCAAAGCCCAGCCAGCCATTTGAACGACTTATCCGGCCACAAGATATTCCAGGGACTCTCCTCAACATCTCATTCACAAACTTGGCAAGTCTCGATCAGAATCTTCGCATAGCAGCATACAACCTTCTCTGTGCGCTCTGCCAAACTTTCAAATTTGGCGTGAACTCGAGTTTTATGGCCTCCAAAGGTAAGACGGCCATCTAATTTCCATATTTCACATGTGCTTCTATCTAACATTCCCAGAATTATCCATACCGCCAAGTGCATCCCATTTCATTGTCACCGTGAGCAGACAACTTGCCGCTTCTGAGCCTCAACTCACAGCAGACTTTATGAATGAGTTTTTTGTTGGCTGGGAGAGCTTCCCCTTACAGCAGAGGCCATTGAGTTTGGCATATCTATCACCTTGGTTGTCGGGTCTGAGAAGCCAGGTTCTAGCAGTTGAAATTGACGGCGAGAAAGCGAGAGAGCGAATAGCTTCTATCTTCAGGAAACTGATAGATGTTGCCGTACCCGACTCCACCCTCTGCATAACCTTGGAACAGATAATATGGCCTGTTATCTGCGAGGACGAAGTCCTAACTGATATTTTAGTGGATGAAATTATAAAGAGCGCATTAACATCCAGTAACAACGAGAGCCGTATTTCACGCCTTGGCTCAATTATTGCATCCCTCCAGGTTGTGACCGTTAGGGGCAAATTGATCAGCAGGTTACGAAAGGCACTCAATCGGACTTCTCTCCGACCTACGAGGCTATTGCCCGATAATTCAGTCTGGGACGAGATATGCATACTATTGCGACTCTGCTTAGCAGCCTCGTTTAATAGTGGTGTGCAGGCGCACCTCTATCTCCCTGAGATATCTCATATCATCACCATGCTGGCGAACACTGGCCCGGCACAAATCAGGCTTGTGGTCCATGGTCTTTTGGTAAATACAGTTCACATATTGTGCACTTGCTTTTCGACGGACGAAAGTAAGCTCGTGCGGCTTAAAGTGATTCTAGCGTCACTCTCCGATCCAAATACTAGCCAACAGGCAAATCTCAGCGGAGTAACTCGAGAAGGCACGACAATTTCGCACGCTCAGGATCCAACATGGCAAATATTGAGCTCAACAGAGGCACTCGCAGTACTCCTTTCGGAAGTAAGCAGCCTTGCAGCGTCGTCGGTTGATCTTTCAAACGCCTGGCGTTCACGGTGGATGAGTCTTGTCGCCAGTACAGCATTCCAAAGTAACCCAGCCATACAACCCAGGGCATTTGCTGTCATGGGCTGCTTGGCACGTGAAGATGTGGATGACGATCTTCTTTATCAAGTATTAGTTGCTCTCAGGAAGAGCGTAAACCGCTTTGCTGATGAAAACGATAATGAGATGCTCGTCTCTATTGTTACCTCGCTCACAAAGATGATGGAGAAACTCCCCACAACGTCGCGCTATGGGCTACAGCTTTTTTGGTTGGCTATGGCACTCGTGAGGCTTGTCCCTCTCAATTTGTTTTCTTGCGCCGCGTCCTTTTTAGAGGCCGTCCTCATAAACATCAATACATCGGGAGATTTGAAAGGCGGCCGTATGGTACCTGTGCTACTACAGGGACGGTTGGCTCTAGAGGATTCAGCTTCGCAACTCGATGAAAGCTATGGGATACATTTCAACATCGACAACTTCCATTTCGCAGTCTGTGCGTCATTGGTTAAAGGCCTTACTGATACTGTGACGAAGGCTACGACTGTCAAAGTCCTCTCTACGTTCCTTGAAATCGCTAGCTCTAGCGCATCAGGGGGGCGCAAATTTCCAGATGATTTGAGCTGTCTTCCATACCTAGGATTGGTCATGTCCCGAGCCCTAACTACGGAGGAAGCGAAGGGTAACCTTTGGCTTGCGGGGATCAACGGGGACAAGAGCAGCACCCCGGAAGACGTCCTGGCCATGATAAACCTAGATACCATCAAGGATAAGGAACTGCTGTTGAACACGGCTATAAACCTTGTTGACTTTCGCTATCTAGAAGATAGTGTTCAGAATCGGGGATTGGTTTGGATGAACAAGGTTGCTATTACCAGGCCCACTGTAATACTCCATCTGTAAGTTCATTTTGCCTCTGCTTTATCCTTCTTTCCCTACTTCATTTTCGCTCATTTGCTAACCCACGGTAGTTCCTGTCCTATCCTCAGCATCCTGGATGAAGTGCTGTTATCAAGCCAGAATTCTGTGACTCTCAAGTCGGCACAGATGCTTTTGCGAACCTTAACTAGAAACCCCAAACTGTCCGACACTGTTGACACTGCCCAGCTCTTGGAAGACGTTCTTGAAGACATCGGCTTCGGTGGGCTATGGGTGTCTTCTACATTTCACAGCTCAGCTGAACGAGACGGGCATTGCACGGTTTTAACTGACAAGCTCATCGAAGTAAGCAACACTTCATACTTCTTTAATGGATCCATGCTAACACTCGTGGCACCAAAGCTCATTATCACATAACACTCAGAACCACTGGACTAAATCTTTTATCCTCCCCGACCAGTTCTAGTGAGGGAAAATACATTTAAAATGATGAATGATAGTATGAGAACCATGACCACGGAAACTGATCGATAATATATATCACCGTACTATACCCTCGATGCGTTGCTTTCCTTCCTGGGGCGAATTCTAAAGCTTCAAATATAGATAGCTGCTACGAATATACATACATATGGTGCATGTTTAAAATTAAACAGTCGGAACAGCTATACATGATAATAATTGAAATGCTAGTTAATATACTTCTGCTTCCTAAATGTCTCAAGAGGGGCTATACTGTACTAGTACATGACCGAGGACTAATACAGATAGGGAGACAAATACTACTAATTTACTAATTTAAACTAGTAGTATTTGTCTCCCTATCTGTATCCTTAGCTAACTAATTAATGTGATAATAAAAGCTAAATTGCAATCTAACTATGTTAATAGTATATAAATTGCTACTTTATACTTATTAGGGTAGTAATGCACATAGTAACTAATTGTTACATGTAAACGAATAAACACATGCTAACTTAGAACACGTGTATGTAAATTATTAGAGTAGCAACGCACGTGACGAGAGTGTTACATGTAAGCAAATAGATAAACNA